TTCCTGTTTTTCTCCAACCCACAACCAAACATGATAACCTTCTCCAAGGACTAATCCCTCCTGATAAAATGTCCAAAGTATGAGGGACTAAATCTGGCCATTCTGGCTTCCAAGGAGTATTCTGGCTGCATTTTTTTCCAACAGTCCATGGTATTTTTAATATTCTCCTCCAACACTGTAACTCGAATGCATCAATTCTTCTTCGTCCTCCTTATTCACTGCCCAATTTTCACATGTATATGAGGTGATTGAAAATACCATGGCTTGGATCAAGTGCATCTTAGTCCTCAAACTGACATCTTTGCTCTTCAGAACTTTAAAGAGGTTTTGTGCAGCATATTTGCCTAATGCAATACATAGTTTGATTTCTTAACTGCTGTTTCCATGAGTGTTGATGGTTGATCTGAGCAAAATGAAATCTTTGACAACTTCAATCTTTTTTCCATTTATATGGATGTTGTTCATTGGTCTAGCGATGAGGACTTTTGTTTTCTTTACATTGAGGTGCAACCATACCGAATGCTGTGGTCTTTGATCTTCATCAGTAAGTATTTTAAGTCCTTTTTGCTTTCAGAGAGCAAGATTGTATCGTCTGCACATCACAAGTTGTTAATGAGTCTTCCTCCAATCCTGATGCCACATTTATCTTCATAGAATGCAACTTCTCAGATTATTTGCCCAGCATGCAGATTGTATAAATATGGTGAAAGAATACAACCCTGGCGCACACCTTTCCTAACTTTAAGCTAGTGTTCCCTTATTCTGTTCAAACAACAGCTTCTTGGTCTCTGCACAGGTTCCTCATAAGCACAATTCAGTGCTCTGAAATACTCATTATCTGCAGTGTTGTTCATAGCTTGCCATGATCCACACATTCGAAAGCCTTTGCATAGTAATAAAGCACAGGTAAACATCTTTCAGATATTCTCTGTTTTCAGCCAAGATCCAGCTGAGATCAGCAATGATATCCCTTGTTCCATATACTCTTCTGAATCTGGCTTGAACCTCTGGAAGTTCTCTGTCAGTGTACTGTTGCAGCTGTTTTTGTATAATCTTTAGCAAAGTTTTACATGCATAAAATATTAATGAGATTGTCCAGTGATTTCCACATTCCATTAGGTTATCCGTCTTGTGGGCATATGAACATTATCCTATCACAGACAGCATGGTACTTCAAGATGGAACTTGAAACCTTCTTTTTGATGATGAATGTGAAGCTGTTCCTCTTCAGTTGGTCATTCCCTATGATTTTCAGATTCAAAATGGCCAATAACCATCCACTTCAGCTCTCTAATGGTGATGGTGACGATGATGGTGGTGGTGATGTTGGCATTGGTGGTAGTGGTGATGGTGATGGTGGTGATGATGTTGGCTTTGGTGGTGGTGGTGATGATGACGGTGGTGATGATGTTGGCATTGGTGGTAGTGGTGATGGTGATGATGGTGGTGATGATGTTGGCATTCCATTGGTGGTAGTGGTGATGGTGATGATGTTGGCATTGGTGGCAGTGGTGATGATGATGATGGTGGTGATGATGTTGACATTGGTGGTGGTGGTGATGATGACGATGGTGATGATGTTGGCATTGGTGGTAGTGGTGATGGTGATGATGATGGTGGTGATGTTGGCATTGGTGGCAGTGGTGATGATGATGGTGGTGGTGGTGTTGGCATTGGTGGTGGTGGTGATGATGATGATGGTGGTGATGATGTTGGCATTGGTGGCAGTGGTGATGGTGATGATGATGGTGGTGATGATGTTGCTGACTATGATGATGACAACAGTTAGCATTTATTGAGCCTTATTGTGACCGGGTGGCATAGTCACTGTACACATGTTGACTCAGCCTAAAACTAGCTTTAAAGTGGGGCTACTGCTCTCTTCCCTGTTGATGAGGACACAGGTTCAAAGAGGTCAGGTGATTTGCCTAAGGTGACCCTGAGACCAGCCTCAGTCTGTGATAGTCAAACTCTATAATTCTACTTCCCAGCATGAAAAGATGTGCCCAGTCCCCGTCATCAGGATGGTGGGACTTGCACTGTTAACGTGCCTCTCCATCCAGTGAGAGCTGCCATCCTGCACCAAGCCCCTTCCTATTTCCACTAGAAGCAGAAATGAGCTTTTAGGAGAAATCTCTAGCTCTGAAGGTAAGGCTTTCTGCTCCCACAAAGACTTACAGCCTTGCAAAGGCTATACAGGCTCACTGTAAGTTACTGTGAGTGGGCACCTCACAATAATAACAACTCCAGACACCTTCATGTTGGCAGCGAATTTTAAAAAGAAGCGAGCCATCTGCAGCGCTACCCAAGCAGCGACCCTGCTGCTCAGGCCGTGCTGTCAGGATGAGGGTCAGTGAGGGTCAGTGAAGGATGGCTGGAACCAGGGGCACTAGGTCACAACAGTACTCTTCACGGTGGCCAGGAAACCTGCCCCCTTGGAACTGGCCATGTCCTCCCATCCTGATGGGCAGGATTGAGTGTTTGCATGCCCTGCAAGAAGCCCAGTGCTGCCTGACCCTCCCACTGTGCAGCCTGGAGCCCAGTGGGGTGACCCCCAGGCAGGAGGAAGGTAGAATCCTTAAAGCTGTGTCACTGGGTGTCCCAGGCCCCCAGTGCTGCTGACACACACAGCCGTGATCCTCAACTCTCAGGAAGGACTGGTGGGAGTCCCCTGCATGGGAGAGGCATTATGACTGATTGGAATGAGACCTGATCGAGTACCCCAGACACACACCAGCCGGTGCATCCCTGAGCTCAAGGCATCAGTCTAAGCAGAGCCCTCTTGTCACCTCATTCATAGCCCAGTTCGATCCCATCGAAGTTTGACATGAATCCGCAGGACTTGAATGCATGGATGTTGCCTGTTGTGTGGTTAATTGTAGGACCATGCCTTCTCCACACTTGCACTGGTGGTCCCTCACTGCTCCTGTGTGTCTGCGGACTACACTTCCCACTGTACTTATCGACCATCCTGGGGTCCTGGGTCTTCCCCAGGCTATGGGCTGGGGCAGGTGGAGGGAGTAGGCACAACTGAGGGAAGGAGCCACACCCAACATCCCTGCCATGCCTTAACAGCTCAGTGGGAATCACCATTTCCCTCTCACAGGCTCTGCAGTGCTAATGAGGCTCCCAAAACACACAGGGCCTGGCTGTGTCAGTACCAGTGGCTACGTCAGAGGGGACCCTGATTGACCCCCAGGCCTCTTCTAGGCTTGGGCAGTGCTTTCCCCTGGGCTCTTAATGCTTCCTCATCCTAAATTTCAGTCACATCCCACTGCCTCCAAGTTGGGACACAGCTTCCTGTCACCCAGTTTCAAGGTCACAGCCAGGATGAGATGCCCCGTATTCTAGCATGTCCCAGCTCTACTCATCTCCACCCTCATGCCTCCCACTGTCCCCTGTCACCTTCCTTCTGTGTTCCAGAGACACCTCACACCTTGCCGAGCATGCTCCCCAGATCCCCTTCCACCTCATTGTACCCTCCACCATCTGCAACAGCCTCGCTGACCCTAGCACCCACAGCGGCCCTGTCATGAGGCTAGATTGGCACTTCGTAAGGCACCGCTGCTGTGATCTGACTTGGTGCCTGCCCATGAAGCTCCGTGCATATGGAGACATCATTTCTGGCCATCACCACCAGATTCCTGAGTCCCCTAGAGCCAGATCTCTGGGAGGCTGATCATGAAGACCCAGAACCAGGAATGCCCTAGAAGGAGCAGGGGGAGGTCTTGTCTGCTCACATGCCCTTTCTACCATTCTGGGAAGGCTCCATGTTGGAGGTCTCAAGCTTGGCCCTGTCAGGTGTAGCAGAAGGCTTGAAGAATAGGCCACTGGGCTGCCGGGGTCCCAGCCTCGGTGTCCCCCCTTCCCTGCAGCCCCTGTCTGCTGATACGTGTCACAAAATTGGAAGTGGTACTTTATGGCTGCATTGACTGTCGGGTACGACACAAGGCACGTTCTCACACAAGTCCATGAACTTTGTCATTGCAAATATTACAGCCTGCAATTTGGGGGGCCCGGAGGAAGGCCATATAATTTGATTATCTATATTAATCAAATAGAGTACAACATATGAAACCCGCAATGCGTGCGCCTCACTGGGCGACCGCCCCCTCTGAGTCCTGGGGAGATTTATTCTTGGCAATGTAATTCATTTGACATGAACGCATCATAATTGCTGTTGCTAGGGAGGAATTATTTTTATTCTTTGAGGGGGGATATTGCCTGATTTCTAGAGCAGTCTGTTCTTTTTAAAGCTCTGCTTACTGAAAATGGAAAAAGGACGATTTGTTTTCCCGATTGTGACGATCTTTCATTAGCCAGCTGTGTCTTCAGCGCTGCCCCCTTCCAGCATACCTCCCTCTATGCCTGCCTGTTGCTGCTCCCAGGGAGTCCCAGACCCTGGCCCTCAGGGATCCTCGACTGGGCATGGTGGTTTTGATGTGCAGGGCCAGGGGCCTCTGAGCAGTTTTGAGCCCAGGAGAAGGGAGTTAGGCTGGATTGCCCACCCCACCCGGTGCTTCTGTCCTTGCACTTCCCAGGCCCTTAACCCACACCATACCCCAACACCAGCCTCCAAGGTTGGGTTACAGGATGGCGTGGCTCCCCTTCTCACTGTGGGGCCTCGCTCACTGTGGCTGGGGTGCTCCATACTGACCCAGAGCGAATGGGCTTGGTGGCTTACTGTGGAACCCAGATATACTTTGTAATAGAGTTGGGGTCAAGCAAGCACCCTCCCCCGGCCCTGGGCTGTCTGACATCCCCTAGGTTGATGGGTGTCGTATCCACACCTGAGGCTGTGCCTGCTTGTTGGAGAGGGGCCACTTCTACCCTTGTCTCTCTCTCTGGCTGTCCCAGGGACCCAGGTCAGACCTCTGGGCTCCCAGGCGAGGATCCCACCTGATTCCACGTGACCCCACACTATCTGTCTACTGGGTACCTGTCGGGTGGGTGTGGCAGGTTGTGGGGTGCTAACTTTCTCTCTCTTTCTCTGCCTCCAGTGTGACAGCGAGAGCGATGTGGACGACAAGGTAAGCCGCCCCTCGTGTGGTGCCCGGCCCTCTGCTAGTGAGCATTGCCCATCGGGACAGGCTGTGAGCAGCCAAGTGTGTACTTGTGATGGTCGCCCAGAAAGGGCCACCATGGAGAGCCTGCCCACCCTAATCTGGTCGGCCTTGGGAAACCCGCTCCTGAGGCCTGGCGGCTTGACCGCCGTGCTCAGACGCAGGGAGAGGAGAGAGTACAGCTGCTAGCTCTAAGCAGCACTGTTGTGCCCACCGGTGTAGGCTTGGGGGACACCAGAGGGTGGTGTCCAGACAGGGAGGATGAATCCCACTGCAAACTGCTGCAAACTGCGTGAGCGGTAGGCGGGGTCTCCTCCTGTTCTGTCCCCACGACTGTTTGGACCCTCAACACTGGGCGGGAGGAATGAGCTCAAGGCACATGGGGCGGGGAGGGGGTGGGGGAGCGTGCACAGGCCTAGGGCCTGAGAGTGATGTGCGTGCGTGCGTGTTCGCTGTATTCCAAGTTCAGCTAGGGCGCCTTCCAGAAAGAACACAAATTGCTGTGTGCTCTGGCCAGGCCGGGCTTGAGCTGCGCGTGGGCGTGTCCTCGATATGGGCGGGCCTCGGTGCTTGGTGTGGAGTTATGTGCTGTGGAGTCCGTTCCAAGCCACAGAGACACTGTATAGGGTTTTCGATGAGTGGTTTGCAGTTCAAACCGACCTTGCAGCCCTGCTTTGACCCATAGTGCCACACCAGGATTCCAGGTCCTTCGTCAATACGGGTTGGATGGGGCCTCAGCGTGGCACAGGGACACAGGGTCCCCTCTAGTGGACGGGCTTGGCTTCCCTTGGTGTCTGCACTGGACTTTGAGGGGCAGCCACGACGCTGACGCACTGAAGGGCCTTTTGGGAGCTGACAGGAGCCAGCATCTGCCCTGATCTCGTTAATGAAATTAGACCAGGTGCGCCTGGGAGACCACACAGCAGGCGGCTACAGCACCTCCTCTAATTGAAAACCAATTTGTGAAGAGTTTGTTTGTGCAGCCCGGGGCTGCTTTGAGGGGCTGAGAACCCCAGGCCGTTCCCAGGGTGACCTGGGACACAGGGGTCTCACGGGCAGGCTGCTGAGCTCTGACTACTGGGTGTGCTGACACGGCACACCCTTTCCTGGTATAGGGGGGACACATACGGGGGAAGCAGGCCTGGGAGTCTTTGTAGGAGACTGAGGTCTTGGGTTTGCCATGGACCTGCTGTCCTCTCAGCCACGCTGCCCCCTTTTGGGGTGCAGGCTACACACAGCACTGCTGCCCTACAGGGGTGCTTGCGCACATGTGGTGGGCCCACTCCTCGCTAAGTGGGTCCCAGCATGAGAGAGCTGAGTGAGCAGCTGTAAGGAGTGAAAGTGGTGACCCCTATCCTGTGGGGGCAGTCACGGGCGCGAGGACCAGCATAGACCATGGTGATACGTATCCAGCAAGCACAAAGCACAGCCATACCTGTCTGCCCACAAAGCTCGGAGTGCCCTCAGACACACCATGCACACACACAGGCTCACCCACCAGAGCGAGGCACAGGGAGGGGACTTCCTGCTGTTACGTAAGATTTCAAAATCGCAGGTCGTGTTTGTCACTCTCTGCAATTCCTAGAAACAGCCGTGGCACAGCTGGCACTATTTTTAGTGAGGGTCACGCTTTTATGCAACAAAGCAGGATGGCGGTACCTGTATTAATTCCCCTGGGATGGAAACAACAGATGTGTACACAACACGCATTAGTGGCTTGTCTCTCTTTAGGGCTCCGGTACAATAGTGGATTTCACAGTTCAAATCCACCAGCCATTTTGCTGGAGAGAGATGAGGCTTTCAGCTCCCATAAAGATTTTGGTGGTATTACGTGCCGTCTAGTTGGTGCCGACTCATGGCGACCCTGGCCAGGGTTTCTGAGGTGGGTTTGAAGTGCCGACCTTGTGGTTTGCAGTCCAGGAGCCTCAGAAATCATGTAGGGAACCGACTCATTGGAACGCAGCAGCAGAGGCTTGAGGGGAATCTGTGGGGGTCTGTCTCCTGGCTTCTGGTGGGGTGGCCACTGGTGTCCTGGCCTTGTGCACCATGTAATCTGTGCTACATTGTCACCTGGCAGTCTTCCTGAGTCCCCGTCTCCATGTCCTCTTCTCCCTGGGTGTTCGTGTGGTCCTTGTAGGGTTAGGGTGAGCTTATGTAGAGATCTTACTCAATGGCATCTGCAAAGCCCTTGTTTCCAAAGCAGGTCCCATTCACAGGCTGCAGGTGGTCATTCTACCCACTATACAAGCCACTGCATGGCTCTCTGTCCAGGGCCTGCCAGAGTCAGCTCTTCTCCCCCAATGCCCCCAGCCTCTCTCAGGAAGACTCCACCATGAATTCCCACAGTTTTCTGAGACCTGCAGCTTCCCCAGTGACTGGTTTCGCCTCAAACTTGCATTCTTTTAATTTGAGAGACGAGTCTGAGAAGGTCCCAGGGCCTTCGTGGTCTGCACGTGAGTGAACGTGCAGAGCTTTGTCTGTCTTTTCCTGCTTTCCAGCATTGAGCTGGTGTACATATACACCATTTCCCTGAGTCCTCACCCACCTGCCCATTAGCCCTTCTGACCCAGGCTCGTGAAGGGTCCCAAGCCATCATGTGTCCAGGTCACACCCCAGCATGGCGGTAGCCTGCAGAGCAGTTTGGTGGGGGACTGCCAAGTCCTCTCCCTGCTCTCTCCCTAGTCTTGACATCCCAGCGTGAGTGACCTTCATGTGGCTGGTGCCGTGTGACACCAGGGAACAACAGGGCAGGTGGGAAGATGGCAAAATTCTGGAGCATCCCCAGGTGACAATGAGGCTGTCACCTGCTCCCTGTGTCCCAGGGATGCTGTAGGTGGATGCAGCACCCCTCTAAGGACCCCTGCTATGATGCCTTCCCCCTCCCACCATAACAATGACAGATGCTGTTATAATTTCGGTGGTTGGAGAAATGCATCTCTGAAAACCACCATTAAGTCTCTAAACAGATTACACATATTTGGTTTCGAAGTCTGGTGCTTAATGTCACGTCCTCCCCCGCGGCTGCCTGCATTTCTCCCAATGATCTATTCCCACTCCACTTCCTTTTAGATTTCTAACCTCATTAAATCGTTCATATCACAGCTACTTCCCTTCCTAAACAAAATTAAAGACAGGCCAGCCCCAGGTTTTCCAAGTTTAATTTCACTCCCAAACCAGAGGGGAGGGGAGGCTCAGAGGGGCCTCTTTTCATGCCTACCAGGGTCCAGCCTTTGGGGTCTCAGGTTCAAGGGTTTGGGCTTGGACATAGAAGCTGCAAACGTTTATGATTGATAACCCGCCTTCTTCCTGAAGACCTCACCTCTAACTCAGGGAGTGAGTGGGAGGACCCAGGAGACCCCAGGACAAGGCCACAAGTGAGACCCAGGCCCTCAGACCGGGTCTAGGTGCCCATGGACTGGTAGAACCCCCAGCTACTTACTGAATTCCTATGCCTTTGTCCTGTAGCCACTCTCCGCCTTAAGACCTGCTTCCCCACCCCCAAGGTCCTAGGTGCTTGGTGTGGTAGGAGAAGGTGACCACAGGAAGTACCTTCTGCTCCAAAGATCAAGGAGCTCAACAGAGCTAAGTGCCTGGAGCAAACACAGACCCTAGACTCACATGACGGCTCCTGTGGGGGTGGGTGGGTGGGGATAGGAACAAGCATCCTGCTGGGGTTATCACCTGTCTGAACTCCCTGCAGGCTGGTCCACAGGCATCACTGTCAGTAGTGACCACCAGGGGTTCCCAGGATAGAACGGATGCCAGGCAGTGTATGCTGCCTGAGTTCTACTTTTTTTGTGGGAGGAAACAGCAGAATTTCAGGTGATGCCAAGGGTTGGGTTTTTTGTTTGTTTGTTTGTTTCTGTACTGGTAAAGGGGAGCCCTGGGTAAGCCCTGTACCACAAGGTTGGTGGTTCAAACTCACCAGCCACTTCTCAGATTCTCAGAAACCGTACACAGGGTCTCTATATGTCAAAACCGACTCGACAACACTTCATAACAACAACTCATAAAGGAGACAGTAACTCAGAATAAAACGGCTGCAGTGGTCCCCAGTCTGGCACCTGACCTTGATGTCCTGGCTTCCTGTGAGTCCTCAGAGATTATGCCTGTATATACCTAATGAGCTGCCTTTGAAAGAGGAACTGGACACGAATGTGACCAGCTGTACTGCCCTGGATGCCAGCTTCCCAGTGTGAGCTCTAGAGGTAGGGTCCCTGGAGCCTCATCAGGACTGGCCTCCCAGTGACCTGACTTTGTACCCCAGTATTCCTCTCGCCTGTTGGATGTCGGGGATGTACTGAGAGCAGCCCTGGGCACTGGAGGGGACAGCCCGTCTTCTGACGAGATACAGATTTCTGTTTCTGACTCGCAGGCACTTCCTCCCCACCACCGCTCCCTGGTGTGTCCACTGGGGCCCTGGCGCTGTGTGTGGCTACTGTGCCAGTCCTGACATTCGTCCACTGCACGTTTCCCAGGCAGCAGGGTCCAGGCAGGAGAAGCTTGTAACGAGCTCCCCCACCGAGGCAGAAACCTTGATGCCCTATGACTCAGGATGCCCGTCTGCACAGTGGGGAAGGAAACCGCACTGCTTATGGTGGTTGTGAGGACCTTAGGGCTCTTGGTCCTAAGCCCTGCCCCCCAGCTGTCTGACCCGAATGACCCCAATCCTGGAAGACACTCAAACCCAGCCCCAGCCCAAAGGGCGGATCCGTGCCTCGGGGCTGGATTAGTCGGGTCTGCCCGCGCCCCGCCTCCGTCCCGCCCCGCCCCCGCCCGTCTCGGCCGCCGGCTGCCTGCACGCCAGCAGACAGTGCACCGGTCGCTTCGGCCCGGCTCCCGGTGCCCAGAAGTCTTGGGTTCGAGCCCGCCGAGAGCCCAGTGGAGCAGTGCCGCCAGACATGCACTACTTGCGTGCCGCGAGCCCTGGGTCCGACTAGGCAGGGCACGCGTTGGGAGGATCTGGTCGCTGGGACCTGTCGGAGCGGGCTGGGGCAGACTGGGACCCGCGCTCCTCACCCGCGTCCATGTCGCCCAGCTCCAACCCGAGCTCAAGTGGCGATAGCCCACAGAGCATAGGAGGCGGGCCAGGGCGCCCGGGGCCAGAGCGGTGAGTGCGCACTGCAGCCTCGGGCAGGGCTTTGGGACTTGGGAGACTGGAGTCCTTCCTGGAGCCTGGTCTCTAGCAAGCCGCATCTCTCACCTTCCGGTGGATGCGCTGGCACCGCGGCGCCCACCCGAGTACTCCCAGGGCACACGTGGTGGGCGGGTGGGGTGAACGTAGCAGGACTTCCTTCTGCTGGGCACTGGAGTGGCGTTGTGGGTGGGCGCGCCTTTGTCTGTGCAGGACACTGGGGACTTGCGCCGGGTCCCAGGGACCCACTTACCTGCCCGGAGTCCGGCTTCTTTGTCTGGGACGGGGCGCGGCCAACAGAGACTGCGCCTCGTGTGTGAGCTGGAGCTGCCCTGGGGTCCAGGCCTCGGTAGACAAAGCAAGGCTGTGACCTTTCTCACACCTGACACCCTCTTTGTGGGCCCTTCCACTCCGACCTCTCGCTTCCATACGGAATGGAGACGGTGGCAGCGCACAACCCACCCCATCCCTACAGTTCCTGTGGATAATCCCGGGGAAGTTATTACTACAGCTCCGGCGGCTGCTCTGAGCTGCCATCCTGGCCCCGCACCAGCCCAGAGAACGCTCACGCCTAGAAGAGAACCGTGATCCGGGGCTCAGCGCTCTTCCGCTGCCCTTGCTGGGGAGGGACAGGACCCTTGACCCAGGAGCTGGACTTGGGGACTCAGGAACACTGTTCCTGCAGGTGGCCGTAGAGCCCTTGGGGGGGGGCGTGGCGTCCAGCGCACCGGGCTATGGAAAACTGCATGACCCCCCAGGACTGAGCACCCGCCCAGCCTCCACTTTCCCGACATCAGCTGTAAGCTTGGGGATCGCGTGGGTCCAGGAGAGCTGGTGCCCCAGGGAGGGGTCCGAGGAACGCTCCCTTCCTCTTTCCTCTCCTGTTCCTTAGCTCTGGTGGACTTTTCCTTGGGTTCTGGGGCGCCGCCTGGTGGTCATGGAAGCCTAGTGTGCCTGTCCAGCATTGCCTAGAACTGGGGGGTGCTTCTCAATTCAGCGTCTCATTCCCCACTTGGTTCCTGTGGGGACGAGTCAGAGTCCAATATCATCATCCCGCCCACATAGCAAAAGGGTTCTCCGATCCTTGTGTGTACCCACGCAAGTGCAACAGAATCAGACCTTTCCCCAGTGTCCCGATGGCCTCCTTGGTACTTGCTCTTCTCAGACTCTTGTGCCCTGGATTTGGAGGCTAGCAGGTCTGGGAGTTGTGGGGAGCCAACGGAGGTGGCGTGGTGGGACAAGGGTGGTTTAAGGCAAAGACACTGGGAGGAAAGCAAAGCTGGGGTGCCCTAGGTGCTGGAGAAGTTGTGGCCATGGCATAGTCACACGTGGGCATTACTTAGAGAGGGGTGTGGCCATGGAGGGGAGGGGGTCCCAAATGGATTCGGGAGGCCTGGCTAACTGGGAGAGGCAAGCCTTAGTGGACAGAAGTTGGGGTGTGAGAAGTGTCTTGGTTCTGATTGGTTTAGAAGGTACTGCCTGCTGGGAGGGAAGGCTGGGGGGTGCGGCTTCCTGCTACTCTTGGGTCAAATGCCTGTAGCTCTCCCCCATTTCTCCTGCCTTCTGCAGACTTCGGGGTTATTCATCAGAGATACCCCCTACAAAATACACACCAGGAGTAAAGACGTATGTAGGTTATGTCGCAGTGACTTAGGAACCTTTGGTATCTGGGTGGTGTCTGTGAACATATATGTGGATGAGTAAGCCCTAGCCCCCATGGTGGGTGACAGGACATTTCTGCCCTCACCATCCCCACTTGCTGCATCTGTGGGCAGCTACCCGTCCTCACTGAGACTCTGGGTCCCGGAGATGACAGTGTGATCCACCCTAACACTGCCGTGTGCAGGGGACCGCTTAGTTTACTGCCCCCAACACATCCACTTTGGTTCGTGTACTGTGGGGATTACTGTAGTTTGTAATGACCTTTCTCTTGGGTCCTGTGGGTTCTGTGACATCGAAGGTGGCGGTTTACAGGTGGAGTTTCCCTATGGCAGACTTTTGTGATGAACTTACAAAGGACTTCCCCACCCCAGAAAGACGCAAGCCTGGTCCCTACAGTTTCTCGGGCACATTTCTGTCTGCGCTGAGGATAAGGGAGAGAGTGCTTGACCTGCCTGTAGCAAGCAGCTAGAGTCTAGTTCACATGGTTTTCTGGAGTCCAGCATCTTCCCACAGACCTGAAATGCTGCCTCCCCCATACTGTAGCCTGGGTTGTGGCTGCAATTTTCCTTCTGTCTGTCTCTCTTCTCTAGCTTCAGTACCCACCTTCCCAATGACCCTGACACACAGTCAAAGCACCTTGATAATGCCGTGGAATGAGTGGATCAAACCAGAAACCTCTCTTTGGGAGGAAATTGAGGTAGTCAGGTCTACAGACTCTGAAATCCTACAGAACAATTCTACTCTGCCTTACAGGGTCCTTGTAAGAATAAGCTCACTAGCTATGGGTTTGGTTTATTTTAAGCATACGTACAGTTTGACCTGCTTCAACAAGTACATACAATTCTATTCCCACTACTTCTGTCAAGATGCAACACATATCCCTTCCCCGGGGGGCTCCCTCCTGCTCCTGGCAGTCAGCCTCAGCCCCCCATTGCAATCACTGACCCCTGCCTGGCACTGGAGAATGTTCTAGAGCTTCACGCACATGCTCCTTTCTGTGTATTGGGTGCAGCAACCAGCCAGGGTCTCCTCTCACAGAGGGTCTTAGGTGTGGCATCAAAGTCTCAGCATGGGGGCTCCGCACAGCACCCTGACGTCAGCGGGATGAGTCCTGCCATCTTGAGCCACACCTGTCTTCACATCCTTGGTGGGTGTGAGGGTCTTAATCCGCAGTAGCTGTTCTGCCTCCTTCTGTGTCTGTGACCGCTCCTCGTAGAAGGCCCAGCTTTACCCTCTGCTGTCTCTTCCAGGCGTCAGTGAGCTCCGAGAAGCTCTTTGCCCCATCAGCCAACAGAGGTACGTGCCTCTCTGGGGCCCTGATCTCTGTGAAGCGTGGACAGCTTTCCCTTGTTCTAGATCCAAGTGCAGGCTCAGGGTAGGGAATGGTGGGGCCAACCAGTGAACCTGCCCCAACACACACACCCATCCCTCCTCTGCTGCTCAGCCTGGGGCTTCAGGTGGGTTCTGGTGTGTAGCTATGGATGTAGGAGGTCCCATCCAGGAGCACAGGGCAGGAGAGGGCGGGAGGCACTGAGGGCACCACCCCTGGAAGCGGTTAGAAGTGCAGGTACCCCGATGGCGAGGTTCAAATCCCTGAGCTGTTCAGAATGTCTCTGCTGGAGCAGCCACAGTGTCTCTCCACAGGAGACATGGGCAGTGTAGTTATCAGCGGTCAGCTGAGGGGTACCCCATTGGAAGTGGGGGCTGATAAATGACCCCTTATGAGAAGCTGGTGCATTAAGTGATTCATGGATGTTGGTGTCGGGGCAGAGGGGCCCCCAGCCTACCCTGGACTGTCCTGCAGGTGGCGCTGAGATCTGAGGAAGATGGGCTACCCACTCACACCACCTGTCTCTTCCCCCACCCCACAGGCCCCTCATTGGGGGAGAAGTTGGAGGTCAAGGCAGTAACTGTACCCAGGGTCTCGGGGCTGGAGCGGAGCCGAGAACTGAGCACCGAGACAGCCTTTCTACCTTCTGTGCCCAGCCCCGCGCCTGTCCCTGTGGCCACCACCACCAATGCGCCCACCTCAGGTCCCCCGCCAGGCACTCGGGCCAGCCCCCTGGTGAAGAAGGAAGCCTTTGCCCTGCCCTGCCTCCCCCCACCCACGCCCCCACAGTCCCGGGCCCTACTCCCCACACACGTGCCTCTCTCCCTGGGCACCTACCCGGGCCCCAGCCAGGGCACACACGGCAGCCTCCACAGCTTCAGGTAGGGCTGGCCTCCGGGAGGGGGGGTGGAGGGTTGGCACCGACTCCGCAGTGACCCACCCCACCCCCAGCAGGAGCAGCAGTGCCTCCGGTGGCCCTGGCCTCAGCCTCCCGAAGAACGTGGCTCTGTCACCTCACAGGCTGGGCCCCCCGCTGGCCCCGCCCAGCTCCAACCTGTCTACCTCACACTTGGCGCTGCGGGCCCAGCACCACCACCTCACAGCAGCCATGTTCGCTGCCCCCCCGACACTGCCCCCTCCCCCAGCGCTCCCCACCAACAGCCTGGTCCTCCCAGGGCACCCAGCCGGTAGGTGCCCACGCCGTCCATCCACAAGTCCACTTCCCAAGGACAGGGAGGGGAGGGTGGGACAGGGCTGCCCAGACCAGCCCTTCCCAGGAGCTCCCAGCCCCGGCTATCCTGAGAAGTCATTCTGCCTGGCCGCAGATCCTCCCGTAGACACTCATGCAGACACATGTACATACACGCACACAGACACATGCACAGTGACGTGTGAACCCACACATGGTCAGACACGCACAGCGACGTGTGAACCCACACACATACATGCACAGACATGCATAAACACGTGATCACAGATGTACAGCTATATACATACAAGGGGGATTCAAAAAAAGTTTGTGGAAAAATGGAATTAAAAGGTAATGGAATATTCCCACAAACTTTTTTAATCCCCCTATATGTACTCTTACACACGTGCTTACAGATGCACGCTCCTAGGTGCACACATGTGCCTCCATGCACATGTGTACATGGAAGCATGTCAGCCCTGGGTCTGGAGCATCCCTAAGTCCATTCAGCAGATGGGGCACGTCCCATGACTACAGGGGTTCCCAGAGACCACCCTCCCAGTCATCCAACGCAGGCCTGCCCTTCTCACAGGGGGGTCAGAGGTGGAACCTCCGCCTGGCTTCTCCATGTTCATGGTCCGGCTGGTGCCCCGCCCGCGGCTGGTGTCCACATGCCACCAGCAGTGATGGCTGACGGTCTTCTCTCTCGCCTCCAGATGCCAGCCTCTTGGTCTCCCTCAGCCCACCAATCATGTACTGCCAGCCTCCCTCGGGGATTCTGATTGGTACTTGGTCACAGGCCCCCCTCTTCCCTCCACCCCTGAGCGCGCACCTGGCGAGCAGCCGCCACAGCGGGGCGTGCCAAGACCGGGAGTGCCAGGTGACTACCCGCCTCGCCCCCCGGGAGCCCGCGGCCGACGTGCCTCTGTCTCTCTCTCTCTTCTCTCCTAGATCACGAGCTGCTCAGGCAAGAGCTGAACACGCGCTTTCTGGTCCAGAGCTCGGCGCGGCCTGGGGCCCCCCTGGGCCCAGGGGCGCCGCTGCGGGCGGAGTTCCACCAGCACCAACACACACACCAGCACACACACCAGCACCAACACTCATTCGCCCCCTTCCCGCCGGGGCTGCCCCCAACGCCGTTCATGTCACCCGCCGCACCCCCGCCGGTGCGTAGGGCGTGGGGGGCGGGGGGCACTCGCAGGCACGCACCCATCACATTGGCCTGTGGCCTTGTGCCTCTGCCGGGTGTCACGGTGGGGGCCACTTTGCTCTCCCATCTCCCTCGGGGTCACGCTGTGGGCTCCCCTTCCACATACCCCCTCAGGACAGGTGCTGGGGCCACGGCAGCCCAGAGGACCACAGGGACATAGGACCCCCCCCCCAGGGTCAGCAGCAGCTGGCCCTGTATTATTGGCAGCATAGCCTGCCCCTCCAGAGGCGGTTAGCCTGGGCTCCATGTCCACCTTAACCTGACCAGTCCTTTCTGACTGCCATCCAGTCTGCCTCCTGAGTCCATGGGCCCCTCCCCCACAGGGACGGTTGTTGGGGGAGCCTGATCCTGGCCCCTGAACTGGGCCATGAGGCTGAACTCAGGACTGAGACCAGGGAGCAGCTGGCTGCTAGTCACACACAAGGGCACCTGACCCCAGCCTAGCTGGGGTCAGGGAGTGAGGGGACTCTAGGCCCAGCAGAGGGTATCAACATGCAGAGGAGGGAGGTCTCATCCCCATTTCTCATTCCTCCCAGTTTGACAAGTACACCCCCAAGCTGGATAGTCCCTACTTCCGACATTCCAACGTGAGTGTGAATGCCCCTTGCAGTGGCCCCCAGGGCTACCCCGTGCTCTGTGCTGGGGGACCAGGGATGCTGGGCCATGCAGGGGTGAGCAGAGCCTCTACTGCCTGTCATGGGTCATCCTTGGGAGGCCGCTGGGCTGGTCACTGCTGCCTTCCTCTGGGGACAGACAGGTGGGGGTCTAGAGGGACTGGTGGGCTTACTCTTGGCTGCTAACTGTGCACCTTTTTGCAGATCTTCCCATCGTACCCTCCAGCCGTCCCAGGCATACCTACCCTGCTACCACATCCCGGTCCCTTCGGGTCCCTGCAGGGCGCCTTCCAGCCCAAGGTAACAGGCGGGTGGACAGGCACAGCTGGGGGGGGCTACCTGTGGTGGGACGGCACCTGTCAGGGTCTGGGTGGAGATGTGGGTCCAGCAAGGCGTAAGGTAGCCCTTCCCTCAGGGGTCTCCTCACCTTTCACCCCCCGGGACAGGGCTTTAGTGGGACAGGGCCCACATCAGCTTTGGTAGGTGGTCTGGAGTGGGTCACCTTGGAGAAGACCCTGCAGTGAGGTCCCAGTGAGGGGACCTAAGAGACACCCGTCTCTTAGCAGACATCCGGCCCCACTGAGGTGACAGGCCGGCCTAGTGCTGTCCACGCCCTCCTGCAAAAGGCCCCCACGGTAGGTGTCAGCCATGCTCCTCCCCCACGTAGGGGGCCTTAGGCTAGGGGCCTCAGCAGGTTGTGGCTCTGTCCCTCCCTCCTCCTGAGGTTCAGCCATCTGCACGGGCGGGGGGTGACGTCACCTCTTCTTGTGCCTGCCACAGGTGTCAGACCATTACCGGACTATGGTCAGGGTAAGTGTGCATGCGCGTCTACGTGTCTGAGCGCACGTGGTTCTGTGTGTGCATACACTGAGTAGGCAGATGAATGTGTATACGCCTCTGTGTGTTTGTGCCTACGTCCACATGAGTGTGTCTGCACATGTGTTTGAGTGCATGTGTGTGTGTGAGCGTCGGTGCCTGTGTCAATGTGTGTGTATACACTTCTGTGCATGTCTGAGTGCACGTGTCTCTCCTGGGAGGCTGGCATGGCTGGGAGCGGAGTCTGGGGACCGTGGGTTGTGGGGAGGGGTGCAGAGCCACACTGAGCGTGTCTGTGTGTCCTGGCAGAAACCGGGGAAGTGGTGTGCAGTCCACGTGCAGATTGCCTGGCAAATCTACCACCATCAGCAAAAGATCCAGGTGGGCTATGTTGCCCCCTACCATGCAGGCTGTGTCTGGTGGCTGAGTGGGGGTCTGTGAAGGCACAGTGCAGTGTGGGCACTATGGGGGAGGAGAGTTTGATGGGCAGGGACAAAGCCAGCGAGACCAGTGACCAGGCCGAGTCGACTGCAAGCCAGAGTGAGCTCAGGTGTGCAGGGGGTACCAGGGGAGGGGGAGGAGTGGGAGGAGGGAGAGCAGGAGGAGGAGCAGGAGGAGGAGGGGGGAGAGCAGGAGGTACAGGGTATGCCCCCAAGCTCACATGTCCGATTCTGCTGCCCCTTGAGCCTGGCCACCTCATGGGCACCCCCTTTTCTCAGCAGATGCAGCTGGATCCCCATAAGGCAGAGGTGGCTGCCAAGCTGGACCTGTTCAGCAGGCCCCCTGCCCCGGGTGTGCTTGCTGGGCTCCACTATCCGCAGGACTTGGCACGGCCTCTCCTCTCTACCGCAGGTAAGGCCTGTGGTCAAGGGCATGCTGGGTCGCGGGCCCTGACCCTCATCTGTGCGAGGCAGGCTGGTACTGTGGACAGGGCAGGTCACTTTCTGGGTGACACCTGGACAGTGCAGCCGCTGCCCTGGGAGGCAGCCTCAGTGGCCCTGCTCACCTGTACACCCCGCCGAGTCCTCACCTGAGTCACTCCTTTACAACTGCGTGTCCCTCATGTGCTGGCCTCACTCCTCCTCTGGGCTTCCTTTTGGGGAATCCTGTTGCCCCGACCTGGGACTTCCTCCTCGCAGTCCCTCCCTCCTGGGAGCCTTTTCTCTGAGGACAAAAAAGGGCTGCAACCCCCCTGGTCCACCACAGCCATCCTTGTGTACTTCTCCCAAGTCCTGTGGTGGGACTTCAGGACTCACTGTGCCGGGGTACAGACATCAGAGGGACAAGGCGCGTGGGGTGGAGTCTGGGACATCCCTGGGCCATCTTGCAGTGATGAGTGTCCCTCCAGGGAAGCGCGTGGGAGGCCCCACCTGCGATGATCAGGGCCCACATAGTTTGCAGAGAGCCACCGTTTCAGAAAGCATTGGGGTCATGTGGAAATGGAGCCACCTCGTAACTGCGGTCCCCATGTGACAACTGCCTTGGCCCTGCTGACGGTTCTCCCTCAGAGCTCTTGTGTCCATAGCATGGTATCTCTGACCAACACTGTCCACCCCGGTCAGTGCTCAGAGCCCAGGGCATGCAGCATGTATTTGGTGTGGCCGGTTCCATACATTCAGTTTGGCGCATGGACCCTGGTTCTGTAGCCCTCTCTAACCCCAGTCTGCCCCCTACCCAGCGCCCTTTGCTTCTGTGGACACTGGCTGTCCGTGACTATTACTGACTGAGCCCATGCTTCTGTGTCCATGTGAGAGCCTTTGTGTGGCCTCGGGTCATGGGTCCAGCAGCCTCACAGCCCGTTTTGGTGCCTGGGGGATGGATTCCGTGCTAATTGAAATCTTGTCACATTCCCCCAAGAACTCTGTGGGTGTTTTATTGGAATTGGGGTGAAAATACTCATCAAGTTGAGGAGAATTCATATCTTTATGATGATGTGTTCCTGTCTAGCTATGAACCAGGTCTCTCTCTGCAAAAGTATCTTATTAAAGTTTTTCATATTTTTAACTTACGTTATGATTGACATTTTGAAGATGACATTTTCTAATGGGTTGTCGTTAGCCAGTGGAAATGCATATTGACGGCGCATCTACTTGTACATTCCAGATTGGTTTGAGAACTGGCAGTCTTACTTTATTACTACTGTTTAATGCCGTCAAGTCAGTTCTGACTCATAATGTCACTGTCACTGTATAATGTTTCCAAGGAGTGGAGTAGCTGATGGGTTTCAACCACCAACCTTGCAATTAGCAGTCCAGTGCCACACCAGAACTACAGCAATCTTACTAAGTTCATTATTGATGCAAATAAGTTATGTATAGATTCCTCTGCATTTCCTGTTTAGAGTCACATCTGCAGATGAAGAAGGTGGTTGTTGTTAGGTACTGGCCCGTCTGTTCCGACTTACAATGACCCTGTACACAGCAGAATGACACACCGCACGGTCCTGCACCATCCTCAGTATGGTTCAGCTTGAGCCCATGGCTACTGCCACAGTGACCCTTGATCTCATTGGGGGTCTTCCTCTTTTTCACTGACCCTCCACTTTCCTGATAATATTTTCCAAGTCTGAGAGACAAAGTCTGCCCATCCTGGCTTCTAAGCAGCCTTCTGGCGGTGCTTCTTCCAACATGGGTCTGTTTGTTCTTCCTGTAGTCCATAGAGCTCTTAATGGTCTCCAAAACCATAGCTCAGATGATGCATCAATTCTTCTACACTCTTCCTTATTCACTGTCCAATTTTCATATGCACATATGAAGCTACTGAAAATACCATGGCGTGGGTCAGGTACACTTTAATCCTTAAAGTGACATCTTTGCTGTTGAACACTTTAAAGAGGTCTTTGTGCAGCAGATTTGCCTAATGTAATATGTCATTTAAATTTCTTGACCGCTGCTTCCATGAGTGTTGATGGTTGATCTGAGCAACATGAAGCCTCTGAAAACTCCAATCTTTTTTCCATGTATATTGATGTTATTTGTTGGTCCAGTGGTAAGGATTTTTGTTTTCTTTATATGGAGGTGCAACCCATACCGAAGGCTGTGGTCTTTGATCTTCATCAGTAAGTATTTTAAGTCCTCTTTACTCTCAGCAAGCAAGGTTGTATCATCTGCATATCGCAGTTGTTAATGAGTCTTCCTCCAATCCTGACGCCATGTTCTTCTTCATGTAATGCAACTTCGGGGATGATTTGCTCAGCATACACATTGAATAAGGATGGTGAGAGAACAGAACCTTGGTGCCCAACTTTCCTGAGTGTAAAGCACTCAATGTACCCTTGTTCTGTTCGCACAGCTGCCTCTGGGTTTAGGCTCCTCATGAGCAGTTAGTGGTATTTCTTTATTTGAGACCAGAGCACTTTTTCTTTCTTTTCTTTTCTAACTGGCCTACAGCATTAGTTAAGGCAGCAACAGTGACCCTGGTCATAAAGGAGGAAGGTGAGGTCTAGCAACTCTCCAGGTGGTGGCTCTCCCAGAGTGGGGACAGTCCCTCAGCTCTGGGGTCCGTAACTGTTTCCATCAGATTGGCTGCGGAATGCCAGAGCACACATCTTCTGCGTCTGCCAAGCTAATCAGATGCTTTTCTCTTTGATTTTTTTGTGTGTACCTATGCGAAGCCCAGTGTGGTCTTGATGGATAAACTTTTTCATGTGCTTCTGGGATCACCAGGTTGATATTTTGTTCGTGAGTGGCTCTCCATGTGTGTCTGACCTGTGTCTTCTTTCCTGCTGTGCCTCCGGCTGGTTCTGTTGTCAGGTGCTCTGAGATTCAAGTCCTCCTTGCTTTGAAGACTGGCATTGTAAGCTTCCTGTCTTAGTGATGTCTACTGATGGATTTTTTCTGTAGTGAGTATAAGACTTTTTACATTTTCTGTTTCTTCTAGAGTCTGTTTTTGTAACTTGACGTTTTCTAGGAAATCGGTGAGTTCACACTACTTTTCATAATTCTCAGTATCAACGGGTGCAGTATCTCCTGCAGTATCCAGTATTCTTCAGATCCCAGTAACTCTTGGGATTGCTTCTACCATTTTTCTCCTAACTCAATCTTGCCAAAGTTCTGTGTATTTTCTCAGCACCTAAAAAGGAACAGCAGTAGCTCTGTTGATCGTCTCTTCCTTCTACTTGATCTTTACTCTGGTAGCCTTGTTCTAACCCCTCAAGCTTCCAGTTCAGAGTATGAAGGCTTTGGTATTTTCCCATGTGTAGTACGCTGCCGTCTGACAGATTCGGCCCTGCGACCCCATGTGTTACCGGTAGAGTTCCAGAGGATTTACTGCTGTGTGTTTCCCTAAGCTTCATTACCACTGGTATCAAACTATTTTCTTACTTTCTGTTGTGTTATTGTGCCCCTGTTTATTATGAATTATATGCAGGTTTACCAGGCCAATCCGTTTCCCATTCAGCAATTCCTGCCCACTTCGTTTCACGTTATTGATTGCAGTTCCACACTCTTAACGCCCCCTCAACCCTCGCTGTGCTTCCTAATTCCATTCCTCCTTCCTACCTTCTGACGACTGCCCTTGGGCAAATGCTGCCCTGTTGGTGATTCCAAGGACTTGCTGTTCACCTGGTAGACCTCGCTTACTGCTTGGCTAAAACTTGAGCCAGTGGGTGAGCTCAGTTCCCAGCATGAAGGGTAACTACATGTTGTCATTGTGACATTTCTGACTAGCAGTGTGGTTTTAAATCTGCAGCGTGGCTGGGGGGACGAGAAACTCTGGGTACGCCCAGCCATCCACATGGGGGCTGGGAGGGGACACGGAATGTGCCATTGTTGGCGATCCCCCAAGAGGAAGACGGAGCCACAGAAGAGTCGGGGTGCCCCCCTCAGAGTGGATACCTGCCAACTGTAGCTGTGTTTCCCTTGACGGTCCCTCGTAACGACCACCCCTCATCACGACTGCCAGGCTGGTGCTGAGGGCTGGGCCTGCAGTGGGGGCCCCTCAGAGTGGGTAGGGAGGGGCTCCTGTCTTCCTCTCACTTGACCTGAGAAATCCAGCCCCATCCTAGGGCAGAAGGTGCCTGTATCAGCCCCATGCCGGCGGCTCCAGGGTTCCCGGCTGCAGGAATAGGGCCATCAAGATGCAATGCCCATGGGCCTCTTCTCTGCCTCTGCCCATGGCTTGGCCCTCTGCCCATCCTCCCTGTCCCACCTTAGATCCCAGACTGTCATCCTCCCAGATTCAGGGAGGGGAATCCTTTACTGTCACCTCATCATGGGAGCAAACCCCGGAACTGGGGTGAGGGCAGAAGAATGGAGGTAGAGGCTTCCAGAAACAATTACCCTACTCCCCATGAACAACACCCTCTCAGCTGCCAGCAGAACTCTGGTGGCCTAAGGCTCCTGTCAACCTGTCACTCCGTCTACCAGGTGCTGCCCATCCTGCCACCAGCCCATTTGGACCCTCGGCCCATCACAGCAGCTTCCTGCCCACCGGTCATCTGGCAGGTAAATGCTGCCCACCCCAAGGGTCCCTGGCACCCTGACTGGCTTCCTCAGCAGACTCTGGGCTGGGGATAGAAGGTGACCCTGGGACCCAGGACACCCCACGAGTGCTTAGGTGGCCCCCCCAGGCTCAAGCTTCTGGAGTGAGGGCCACAGAGATCCTAAGCCCCCTGCCCCACCTCCGCAGACCCTTTCAGCAGATCGAGCACCTTCGGGGGCTTGGGGAGCCTAGGGAACGACGCCTTCGGGGGCCTGGGCAGCCACACGCTGAGTAAGGGTCCTGCCTCTCTGCGCAGGAGCGCGAGTCCCTCCCCTCGCTGGACCCCTGGAACTGTGAGCCTCACCGCTAGAGGCCTCATGAGGGCGGGTTGTGGTGATGCCCACCCAGGCCGGATCACATGGGCACCGCACTCCACCTCACGTGAGGAGTCCCACCTCACGCCTTCGCCCGGCTTCCCTGCAGCGACCAGAGGCGCCTTTGCACATAAGGAGGGCTCCGCATTGCCCAGCCCGGCCCCCCTGCACCGCCTGCCCAGCCCACACGAGACCTGGAGCCGGCTGCACCGCACACTGCCCTCCTTCCCCACGCTGCCCCCATGGCCGAAGCCTGTGGATGCAGAGTGTGTCTCCACCCTGACCAACCATGACCGAGAGTTGTACAAGGGCAGAGAGGACTGTGAGCGGTGAGTGACACACGAGATCAGGGTGGGAGCACCATATGTCGGGGCTCTAGGACCCTAAGTAGGAGGGGCACCCGACCCAGGTGGTAGAGGCTTCCAGAAACCTGGAAGCTGAATGCTGCATAGGGACGGGGCCTGGATGCATGTTGGGAGCCATGTGGGGTCCTGGCAAAGGTGAAGCAGGAGAGCAAGGTTGTTGGCTCAAGGCCTACCCCAGAGACCTCTGGGAGCAATGAGGCCCTGCTTCGTTGGGGCTGGCTGGCACTGCTGGACATGTGTGTGTCTGTGTCCACCTTTAGAGATTCAGAGGCTGCTGACAAGGCAGCCTCCATCCCCACCCTTGAGCACCTACCTATGAGTGGAAACTGCCCCCTCCCCGTGCCCTGGTCCCCCAACTTATACTAAGTAGGGGCAGCTAGACGTAGGGCAATGCCCATCCACGGGTGGGGGAGGCTGGCAGTAGGGTCAGGGCAGCCTCTGAGGTTGTGACTTGGAGAGAAGTGACAGGCAGCAGCCAAGTGGCACCTAAAGCTGAAGTGTGTGTGAGACTGGGGCTTAATGGGCGTGCTGTGTGCTGTGTGGAGCGGGGGTCTGTCCAGCTTACCACTGTGGGAAGCAGGTGTTTGGGGGCCAGTCTGCTGTCCTGAGACAGCTCATCTTGTGATGTTAGTGGCTCTTTGCTGGAGAGACTTTGTACCCACAAGTCTGGATGCCCGTCACCAGTAGGGGGCAGGGGACCAGCACCCCCTGGAAGCTCTGGGTGTCCAGAGCTCAGTGGTTCTGCCCTCACATGGGCAGAGGCAGGTATGGGCCAGGTGTTGGGAAGCTAACGGAACATCCCCATCTTGGGGACTTGGCCACCTGCCCCAGAAACTCCCCTGCTGAGATGGCGACTTTGGGACCAAACCTGGGGCGGTGGGCAGAGGGCAGGCAGTGGACCCTTCTCCTGACGAACCCCTGCCTTGTCTGCCCCAGAGACGTTCTGGACAAGACGCGTCTGCTGAACCGAGCCGAGCCTGCCGCACCGCTTGGCCACCCCATCAGCGGCTTCCTGCTCCTCCGCGGTTGTAGCCAAGGTGAACCTGGCAGGCCAGGGATCTCCACCGATCAGGAGGTGGCCCAGCCCCGGGTCAAGGAGAGCTGTTCCCCGGTCAAGGAGGACGGCGCCAAGGCGGCCCTGGGGGACAGTCTGCGTCTGACCGGTGTGCTGGGCCGCCTGCCTGAGCCCATGGCCGTCACCCTGCCCCAGAGCGCTGTGAAGGTCAAGGAGGAGCAGCGGGAGGAGGCGGACGCACCCGTGCTGGGGCCCCAGGCCGGCCGCGAGCGCCTGGCCTTCCAGTGGGAGCTGCCGCGCCGCGCCTGCCCTGCAGCACCCGTTCCCCACGAGGCGGCCGACCGCACCTATCGCGACCGGGAGCCGCACGACTACAGCGCCGAGCACCGGAGGGCTGTGCGCCAGGACGAGCTGGAGCGGGCACGGGCCGCACCGCACCTGGGCGCACACCTGCTACCCACGGGCCCTGCCCTGGATGGTGCCGCTTTGCTACCGCCGCTGGGTGCCCTGCACTACCCGCGCCTGGCGCCCGCCACTGCACACAACGGGCTCCTGGCACGCACTCCACCGGCTTCTGCCGCCGCCGTTCTCAGCGCGCCTCCGCCCCTGGTGACCGCGGCCCCTGCGCCACCGCCCCCTTCCCAGCCCCCTCCCCAGCGCAGGACTACATCCCTGGGGCCTGGCCCCAGTGAGGCACGTGACTACTCTCCATCCCGAAATCCGCAGGAGGTGGAGACACGGTAGTCCCCGGGGCGCCCCTGTCACAAATGCACTGCTGTAAACTTTTTTACTTGTACATTTCTAGAACGTAAGCACAGGTCCGCAAATCATGGGGCTCGATCGCGTTCCCTGCCGCTAGGTCCCGGGTTACCTGCCGCCCTACCTGAGGTGCACTCTTGATTTTGGAGAGGCGATTGTTGGAAAAACAAAAAATCGAGTTTGTACGTTTTTTCCCAAAAGTGAGACGCGTTTTTAATGGATTTGTAGTTTTTTCAATTATGTGCTCTTTAGACCTTTTAAAGAAACAACAACAAAAAAACAAACAAAAAAAAAGCGTTGGCTTATTCATTTTTAGTTCAATTTGCAGTTTTCCAGCCTCCAGCCCTTCTCGAGAGCCCCAGGGTTTCCTTTGTCTTATTTATAGAGAAATAAACGGTCACTTAGTCCAGCGCACTGTGAGGCCAGACCTGGCCTTCCCGGTACTCGGAACCGAAGCTACAGATAAACAGTATATTGAAATAATAATTAATAATAATAATTTACAAAACTTTGTTTTTTGCCTTATTCTATTATGCAGAAGTGTAAGATTTCTTTTTTGTTTTTGTTTTTTTTAATGAAACGTGTAAATAGTCTGTTATATAAATACATGATGTTATTAAATTCTTCACCTTGGTAGACTTTATAAAAATGGTCTTTAGAAATCTCTCTCATTATTTAAAATGGTCATTCCAAAAAAAAACCTATTCACTGTCAATTGACGTGGCTCAGAAGTTTAACTACCACAAACTCGAAGATGCAAGCTCTGAGACTTGCCTATGGTTGTGGGGAACTGACCTCACACCCAGCTTCAGGGACATTCGAGCACCCAGGCAGCTCAGGGTGTCTTGGCGGGGACAGAACGGAAGGGCCCTGGGCAGGGGTATACTGAGAGTGGTTCCAGTAACAAGGACAGCTTCTGTGGACACAGGTGCTGGTCAGCAGTACTCCTGGACACTGTATTGCAGACCAATGGCATGTATCACAGAACTAGAGGATTACTTTTGTAGACTTTCTCTCCACAAAAAGGCGTCCACACTTGTGGACGTTCAGTTGAGTTTTTCATCAGTAAGCCTAACAGTATCTCCATGTCCACTGTGAAGCCCCCTCTGCGGTTCCCTGGCGTCCACAGTGTGCCTCTCTGCTGGGTGTCCGCCTCTCCAAGTACTCATGTACCCTCAGCCCCATTTCCTGCCATGGACGTGGCTCTTGGAAGCATCCTATTTCTGTGATTTTGGATGAAAGGTGGTTGTGTGTTTTGTGTGGCGCTGTGCATGAGAACAGAGCCCTGGTGTGCACTGCTTCTGCAATGCTTACCAAGTCTGTTTCTATCAGAAACTTGCCTCCCAGTCCTGGCCAACATCTCCACCTTCTTGGGTCTCCCTATCAGGATGGCTCACTACTTCCTGCCCCAACCCCTTAGTGATAGACTCACGAAGCAAAACGAGAGGCCATGCTCCCACCTCCACCCACACATCTGCTGGCTGCTCCCCCTAAAACATCTCTCTATAACCTCCTTGAAACACAGGAATGGCTTCAACAGGGAGCCACACTCTCTAGGGACTGACTGCTCAAGGGACTGTACATTCTCCCCAGGTCACAGGCCACACACATCCTCACAGAGATATATAATATCCTTCACATAGGGCATGAACCCCTACTCCGCCTCCTACGACCCATGTTTTACTGTCCTACTGTCCCCACATGCCCTCACTATTCCAACAAATAACTCAAACCTGCCCCACTTGTTCAGTCACATCCCCACAGGGAGCACTACACCCCATATCATCTCCCCCCCATCAGGCCCACAGCTGTCTACCAGGAGAAAGCTGGCAAATGGACTTCACACACACATGCCCCCCCCCTCACAAAAAACCACAAGCACCTCCTAACCATGGTAGATACCTTCTCAGGATGGATCGAGGCCTTTCCTGCCACCTGGGAGGGTGCCCCAGAGGTCACGCATGCTCTTTTAACTGAAACGATTCCACACTTCGGCCTCCTACACTCTATACAATCGGACAATGGCCCTGCCTTCATCTCCCAGATCACCCAACTCACTGCCCAAGCCCTCAACATGACCAGGAAACTCCACATCCCATACAGATCTCAATCATCTGGCAAGGTGGAAAGGGCAAATGGCCTTATACAAACACAATTAACCAAGCTTTCATTAGAGTTACACAAGCCATGGACAGAATTACTTCCCATAGCACTAACATAGCCCCCCGAAAACTCACGTTCTTAAGCCCATTTGAACTAATGTGTGGAAGATCATTTCTCCTGGAAAACTTCCCAACCACCTCACCCCCACATGCCAACTATATCCCAACCCTAAGTATGGTCCATCATTTGTTGCAAACCCACGCAGACCAATTTCTACCCAAACCCCATCCAACAGAACAACAACACTTCCGGGTCCAACCTAGTGACCAGGTGTACCTGAAAACCCTCAACCCTAGCCCTCTGCAACCAAAATGGGAAGGACCCCTCGAGATCCTACTTACCACCCCCAAAGCAGCCAAATTAGCTGGCAGAGCGTCCTCGTTCCATAAGTCACACATAAAACTGGCTCACCCAGTTTCAGCCACTCCCAAATCGGATGCTAACCCAGGCGTACCCCGCTATACTTCCTCTTTCGCAGGACTGACCAAGCTCAAACCCACCCGCATCCCAGAGGAATAAACGCATGACTCCTGCCTAGTCAACCGATCTTCCTGCTTCCTCAAGCAGGTGGGCCAGGACCTCCAGTGGTTCTTTCCAAAGGCTAACACTCCTGACCTAGTCAGGTTCTCCAGGGCACTCTCTCTCATTTCTCACTGGACGAAAGCTCTCAGCTGACAGTGTTTGTCCTCTGCTGGCTAGCCCGACCGCCACATACTCCCTTAGACATCCCTCCATGTTAACTGGCCACCCGGCCTTCCTCGCCCCCTTCGGGGCACTATCGCCCTTGCAGTCAGCCTCTTCTCTGTCTGACCCCGAGTGGCCTCGCCATTCTCGAATATTCTTTGCCTTACTCTTTCTCATCATAGTGGGACTTGTCATCATCCCAGTATGCTCTCCATACTCTTGATCTCAGCCTTGATGATCAGATCGTGCCTTAGCCAAAATGGCAAAACATGCTCAACCCCTCAGACAGCCACGGACTGCTCCAGTGTCCTGACCTTTACGCACTCTGCCTGCTTTCTGGGACAAACACCTGTCATCAGGCAGTTTTGTGGAATCCGAGTATGGTACCTGTCCAAACTCTCCATGGCAGATGGGGGTTGGGGGGAGGTGGCAGACGCAGCGAGGAAAACGATCAGTGTAGAAGCCGGGACTACACACGTGCCTAGATCCTGACAGCATCCACCAACCCCATCACACGCTAATCACTGAACTAGCAACCATATTGTATCAAACCTCACGCTGGGTTTGTTTGCCCTATAGGGGCCTGGGGTACTCAGCCCCAGGCGTTCCGGCCGAGCCAGTCCCTAAATCATACCCTAACCCAACCACCCTACACGACACAGGACCTCTCCTCACGGACACTGGCCTCAGCGATTCCACCCACGTCCCCTGCCTTCATAGCCACAACATCGCTGACCCTTCCTCCCTGTCCCTCCCAAACCCCTGGTGCACCGACATAACAAAGGGAAGCAACCCAACACGTGGGCCAAAAGGATGCGTTTTCTTGGGTGGAAAAGATTTTCAAATGCCGACCCGCACAACACTGTGAGGTCACGTATGAATCCCCGCGGCCGGAATCTTAACCCCATCTGATTAGGAACAGCCATACATCTCTTACAAACAATTATCAGAGGCCGGGAGCAGGGACATGAGAGGGTAGCAGGCCCCCGCCTTGCTTTACAAAATCAACTTAAACAAACCATGGTTGGACCCTAATGTCCTCCTGGTGGCCTTGGCTCCTCCCCGTCCAAGGGCCATTAACTATAACCCTCCCGACACTGTTATTTGGCCCCTACCTGTTTCGCTGTCTTCAAAGCTTCCTTCAGGAACACACGAGGGCCTTTACAAGCCAGCCGGTGGGCGACTTCCTCATGGCCGGATACCAACCACTGCCAAGCAACAGGGCCAGGCAGCCGGAAGAACACGCCACATACATCCAGCCGGAAGCAGCGCCAGGAGAAATGACCTCCACCCCCCCGTACCCATAACAACTAAAGGCTGGAATGACAGAAGCCCTCAGCCACATGCATCATAAAATGGCCGCTTGCCGCGCTTTCGCTCTTCCTAGCGGAACTTCCTCTGTCCCTGCCAGCACGTCATCCCTAGTCAACCTGTCACCTACCTCCACGAATCTCAACCCCGCCCTCCTCTTGGACCAGTCTAAAAGTCCTTCCCTCTCTTTCCGTCCGACCTCCAATGACGCCTACACGTGGGTGTTTGTGTCCCATTTAGTACCTGAAGCACCCTCAGCAGCCTGGCCTCTGCTGGGAGCTCCCAGGTGCACGTTGGATCCCAGCTGATATCGCTTCTGCGTGGGGCTCACTGAGTTTACCGTGTTTACTCACACTGTGCTGAGGTGGCCCTTACTCACTCTGGCAGTAACCGTGTTCTCTTACCTGTTAGTGCAGGACTGCTCTGGCTGTGGAGACGTGCATACATGGGTAGCCCTCCTGCCAGAGGACTCGAGACCAGTGTGGGATCCCAGAGGCCTCAGACATGCACGGAACCCGAGCCTGGCTGGGGACTCCAGCCCCAGTGCGGTGGTCTTAGGGTGTTCCCTGCAGCAATGTGAGCCATCCAGTTCGACTACACTTGTGATGTTGTGAGATTGTTCTACAACTCCTACTTGGTGTGGTCCTTGTTAACTCAGGGAGGGATCAAGAGCCATTTGCACAAGGTTGTTTTCATGAGCCGGAAACTCTGACCACATGCCCATCAAGTTTTACCCATTCTTAATTTCAACATCAGTCATTCTCATCAGTTTTACTGCCTAATTTTAGAGGCAACTGGGGCAGTTTATATATTTTCCTGGGGAGTAGTCTGTATTCTGAAGATTGTGAATGCATTCGCTTCCGACCCTGTACATGTCCTCTCTGTGGTTCTTCAAAACCTCCATCTCTGTGGTTTTGTGCCCTTTGGTATTTATAATGGTTATTGTTTTTTGCTTTGTTTTGACATTGACTTATCACTGTTTTCAGAGAAGAATCTTTTGGGTATTTTTCATTCTTTCTGGGTTCCTCCTCTGTCCACACTTCTCTTCCTCCTTCTGTCGCTCCCTCATCTCTTCTCTGTTTCTGTCTCCAAAACCCTAACATGTATGTCTTCCCAGCCTCAGTTGGGAATCAGAAAGATTCACCCAGTCTGCACCTTAGACACGGCTCTAACCGATAACCTTCCTCACTCACAATGAAGGCCATCAGCTCCCTGCCCCCAATCCTAAACCAGAGTCAGGTTCCAGTACCAGTATCCCTCCCCACAGTTCTGACCAAGGTGAGGCCTACAGTGGGCCTGGGGCACCTGGTCACCCAGGGCCACACTCACCCTACTTGCCCTCCTGCATGCCCACGAGCCCCCCATCACACCGACCAAGCACTACTGGAGGTGTTATCCAGGCTGATGGCACACCTCAAGATGTCTTTGGAAAATAACCCTTTTTGTTATTTTTTTTTCTCTCTCTGTCTACCTCTCTCTCAGCCTGCCCCTGGCCTGGAGTTCAGGGTGGACTTGTATCTCCTTGCTGCTGGGAGCTTGCAGAGTTGAGGGGCTTCACCATTCACTGGAGGAGGCAGGCTCCCAGCTCTCTCTGAGCCACCCACAGTCTTCCATCTGAAGGTTTTCATCCACTTCCCATACTATACACCTGCATCTCTGGGACCACCCACTCAGCTTACACAGAAGTTCTGTTGATGTTGATACATTAGGTTGTCTAATGCAGTCCCTGTTGATCCTTGTCAGGGAACGCGGGACACGTGACATCACAGACCTAAAGGGATTCCCATCAAGCTCCAGAGCCCCAGGGACAAAGTCCCAGGAAGAGCAGGAACCAGAAGCGAAGCTTCCTTCTGAACCAGCTCCTTGCATGACCAAACCAGCATGCACATCTCTAGAGTTCAGGTCAGGCTCTTCAGCATGTAAGTTCTTGTTCACGTCACAAACTAGGTCACGGAAAAATGCAGCTCGCAGAAGGCAGGAGTCCACCCCTACTCAACTGAGGGTCTTCCTGTCCTTCACTGACCCTTCACCAAGCATGATGTCCTTAGGAGTCACTCACCCTTCTCCCAATGGCCCTATCAGATGCAGTCTCCTGCCTGGGGTCAGAACACCTGTGGAAACTAGATTCTCTCATGATAAATCTTTGTACCTCATGAATACCCCGTCACCTGGGCACTGATGAGCTGGGGTGGGGGGGTGGGGAGTGGCAGAGACCTGTCTCATACACAGCCATGTCTGCTGCCCAACCTTCTGAACCACCTTAGACTCAGACGGAGGTGTGGGCTTACGCACTCACACGCGGCCTGTACTTGGCCTCAGCTCACTAACCCCCTCTGCCCCTCCTGACCCTGTCCTACGGTGGGCAGTGCTCCCAGGGCTGGGGAGATGATGGGAGGAGAGGTGCCCCCCTTACAGGGGCTCCCACCACAGCCTAACAATCCAGTCCAGGGCCCCCCACTTCACTGTGCCCCACTTTATTTATCGTTGTTGTCTGAGCAAACCGAGGGTCCGTAGTGACTCTGCAACATGCATATCTGTCAGCGCCATTTTGCCAACAGTGTTCACATGGTGTCTCCCTGTCCCATTTCGGCCATTTTCACAACATTTCAAGCTATTCATCACACCAGTGCATGCTTCATAGACTACAATATAGTGTAAACATCACTTTTATATGTACTGAGAAACCAAAACTGTCCTGTGGCATGCTTTATTTCGATAGTCACTTCACTTGGTGGTCGGGAAGAGTTCCTTAATGTCCCTGTGGTCTTCCTGTAATGGTAATGGTCCAGCTTTGCCTTGACCTTGATGGCTCCAGGGCCCTCAGGTTCTTCCCATGTGGCTGTGATTGTCCCCCCTTGGGATATGTGGGGCTGGTCCAGGCCTAATGTGAGGACTTATCTGTCCAGCAGCCCATTCCACTGACTTACTTTTCTGGACTGCCAAGACTTCACCCCGTTGTGAACTGGACACCCAAGGCTGAGCCCTCTCTGCCTGTGGTCAATTCTGACAAGACCTGATTCAAACCCTCCCATGTTCATTTTCCCAGGAAATCACTGAACTAGCCAGCTTGGTCCCTGCCCTGCCGGCTAGGCAGCAGGGTGTCACAAGGGCCCGGGAGGCTGACATCACCCGGGAGGATGGGACAAGGCAGGGCCTGCCTAACCTCAAAACCCACTAAGGGCAGGCAGTGGGTGATGAGGCCGATCTGCGGGACACACCGGGAGTGGCCATGCTCAGTCAGCTTGATGCAGCACCGGCTTCTGCAGTCAGTGTGGTGGCTACAGAAATCCATGTTGGGCTGCGGAGACAGCATCGGGCGGGTCTGCATACTTGTGTCCCCCGAACAGACGGGCTGGCTCCCCTGGGCCCGTCTGACTCACCTTACGCCAAGGCACACACTGCAGGAAGACCGTCTGGGCTGTGCACACCTGTATCTCTTTCTGGCTCAGCGCACAGCAAGAGCTCTGGCATTCATTGTTCTGATGGCAGCTGTAGCCAAGGGGCTGTACAAGGAAGACTCAGCCCTTCCTCCGAGACCCTCCCTCAGGAACCCGCCTCCCCCAAGGAGACAGCTGGGACTCACCTTTTTCCAGGGCAGACAGAGAAGGAAGATGGTCTGGGAGGTGCAGAACTTCTGAGAGTTCAGGCTGTTGGTTACACAGCATTCACTTTGACATTCCTGGTGCTTCGTGCAGACCTCACCGATGCCCTAAGGAGGCGCCTAGTGTCATCGCCTCCCGAAAGGCCCACAAGACCAGAGCTGGGCTGTTTGGGGGGGAGCCCTGTGAAGCCAGGCTGCCTAATGTCATCGCCTCCCAAAAGACCCACAAGACCAGCTGGGCTGTTGGGGGAACCCTGCCAGATACATTCCTGTTTCGTCAGTGCTGGGTTCCCAGGGGAAGAAGAGGGAACTGCAATCAGCTACATGGGCAAAACAGTAAACTGAGGTACAGTGAGGAGGGGGCCAGTGAGAGGCAGCCTCAGAAGGTGAGGGACCTCCCAACAGTCAACAGCAGTGGCTGGGTCCGGGGTCCATGCACCCTGAGCCAGGCACCTGCTATCTTCTGATGGATCGGAAGGCCCGGCTCAGCAGAGGCGCTCAATGTTTCTGGTCTCAAAGTATCTTCACAAGTTTGTCAACTTAGTGAGCACCCAACAGAGGGTTAGTTTACGTGGGTTCTCCCTATCGAATTTCACTGCAGTCAACACTAACACAGAGAAACATTTAGAACAGTTTGGTAGTAATTAACTTAAAAATAACAATAAAAAATCCCTTATAACCTATCTTTATGAAAAATAGGGACATTTCCAAATCAAAACAAAATAAGTGGAGTCACTGGGCTTTGCATTCTTGCAACTCTTTCAATAACTTGCTGAATAGTTTCAAGACATAATCTCTGGTTTGAATATTTCATTGAAACCATGTGTTTTTAGTCATTTAAAATGAAATTAAAAAAAAAGGTTTCAAGATCATATGGATTTTGATACAATTCGTAGAACACATGCGTCCAGTGTTACTGGGGTTAGTGGAATGAGGCCCGTTTCCTTCTGACTCAGAGACTTAAGCAGTCCCCATTTAGAACTGGCTTTTAAGGGCCATCAAGTCAGTTCCAGCTCATAGTGACCCTATACAGGGTTTCCAAGGAGCGGCTGGTGAGTTTGAACTGCCAACCTGCAGTTCAAACCAACCTTGAAGTCAACTGCTTACATGGCAGCACACAAAGCGGGCTATATGTTGCCCATTAAACCCCTGAGAAGAAAATGTAGGTGGGATGTATATGTCCCACTAAAAGATTAGCAGGGGCCAGCTGGTCCTATGTCCAGTCTGTATGATGTCACCATATAGACAATCCACTGTATGCCATGAAAGGGGAAGGGCTACCCTTATCTTAGTATTACGTCATTGAAGTGATGACCCAGCACCACCCAAAGGGCCTGGAGACCCTGGGCACGTGGAACCACAAAGGGTCACTTTTCATCTGCCCTGTCTGATGGAAGGATGTGGATGGGGACGAGTCGGTATTTGAGGAGTGTTGGCTATGAGGAGTGACCAGGAGGGCTCTGGCTGTCTTCTGGGTTTCCAGGGGAACTTCGTGGAGAAGGGGACTAGGAGGTAGCCCCTTGGTAAGGGTGCCTGAGCCCTGCCACATGACTGGACAGATGGCTGGGTCCAGCTCCCCGTGTCCAGCTCCCCATGTCCCAGTGCAATGCAGTGGCCTGTCCTGTCCTCCAGGGGTTCTTATAGGAGCTGCAGGTAAACCTGACCTTAGGGAATTTCAGAAGGCAGAGCCCCAGACAAGCCCGGGTGTGGCCTGCACATAGCCTTGGGGGTGGCCCCTGCTCACCTTGTGTGAATGGGGGTGGTTTTTAGTATGTTGAGACACCAATGGGCAGAGCAGAAGCAGCAGCAACCCCCTCTGAAGCTGCATGAGTCGGGCCATCAGCTCAGCGTCTGTGGGGGCAGCATGTGAGCTTTCCCCACGCTCCTCCCGGAGCTGAGCTTGGTGGTGGTGGCCCCTTGCCGGGTCACACAGTGGTCTCCAGCACCGCTCCCGCCTGGGGACTTCTCAGGGTCCCTGACTACTGTGGTGTCCACCTGCTGAGGAGACTTAGTGCCCACACCTCCAGAAAACCCTCCCCTTCCCCCCCTGGTGTAGGAACCCCAAACCCGGGTCCTACTGGGGAGGGGATTTGGGGCATCTGCAGTGCCCCAGCCTTCTCTGTTCCTCTGTCCCCTCAGGCTGTGTTCTCACATGGAAAACAGGTCCACGGGATGGAAGGCTTGTCCTCTGGTCCCAGAAGGTGTCCTGTGGAGGAGAATGGACAGGAAATGGCAAGGTCCTCAACTGGATGTGCCAGAAAGGGGAGCAACAGAAAGGGGGGGTCAGCTTTCTTTTCTTTTTAAAATTTTCATATGTTTCATTATTAATACTAATTAATAAGAAATTCTTATTCTCTTGCATTGTCGTTAGGTGGGAATCAGCTTTTCTCCGGAATCCCTGGCACACTCGGGCGGCCTTGGGGTCACTGTTGATGACGGAACCCACCCAGGCAGCCACTCCTCCTGTCTTTGCCACATGACTTGGCTCTGTGTCACAGCTGTTCCCAGCCTTGTGTGGGCATCCCAAAACCAAACCCCACCGTCACTGAGCTGATTTCAATTCACGCAACCCTGTACGACAGAGAAGTGCACTGTAGGTTTTCCCAGGCTATGTAATCTCTACTGAAGCAGAAAGCCTCAAATTTCTCCAGTGGAGCAGCTGCTGACTTTGAACCTGGAACCTTGCAGTTAGCAGCACAATGCTTGACCCATTGCACCACCAGGGCTCCTAAGCAAAGTCCCACAACAAACTCACCTCACGGCCATCAAGTTGGTTCCAACTCCTGATGCTATGTGTTGTCAAGTCGTTCTGATTCATAGCGACCCTGAGTGTGAGGTGAGTTTGAACCACCGACCTTGTGGTTCAAACCAACTCTGCAATCAAACCAGCGCTTCCCCAGCAATCCTATGTAGGGTGTCTGACACTGTGAATCTTTACTGGAACAGAAAGCCTCATCTTTCTCCACAGTGGATTCCAAATGCTGACCTTGAGGTTAGCAACCCAAGGTCTAAGGTATGCACAGGTTTAATTGTTTATTTACTCATCTGTAGTGAACCATCTCACCTGGGTTTCACCACGTCTAAGACGTGACGCACAGGTGAAAATGTTCATTGTGGTTGTTAACCATCCACTTGGTTTGAACTCATAGCGACTCATTGCTGAGCAGAACGGAACGCTGCCCAGCCCTGCACCACCCTCACACTTGTTTATGTTCGAGTTCCTTGTTCCAGAAACTGTCAATCCATCTTGTTGAGGGTCTTGTCTTTTCTTTTGCTACAGATGAATTGTTGAATGCGGTAGAGTCAGTTCCAACTCACAGTGACCCTGTATAGGGTTTCCGAGAAGCCAGCACAATTAAAGCTGCATTTCTTGTTAGTGTAAGCAGGTATGCATCGTTCTCACGGGTTAATCCGGACCCTGGCTGGCCAGGTGTGCAATTTGCGTATGGCACTGATGCCCTTTCATCTGCCCACATTGGTCTGTTCCCCTCACACCCTCTGGTGGTCATTGACGGTGGTGCTCCTTCTCCACCCTAGTGCCCCTGGAATCCGGCCTGAACTGGGTTTCCTCAGGTCGGTCAGCTACACGTCCTGTTTGAACCTGTGGTTTTCAGACATTTTGCCCCCTTTGTTGGTTAGCAGAGGCCTTTGTGCTGCCAGGCTTTGCTCTTTAAGCTCCAGCCAAGGCTGATGCCCACCTCCCCAAGCTCTTCGAAATGGCACAGTCCTGGTCTTGGGGAACCCTCTTCAGCTTCAGTCTCCACAGTCACCCATGGAGGCCTCTCTGACCTTCCCGGTGCTTGGGGATTGGGAAGCCTGCTCTAGGTTTGTAACAACGCTCTCAAGTTCATCTGCTGGCGGCCGTTTTCAACAGCACGTGCTCACTGTTAGTCTTTGGTCATAGGCGCTCTGGTAGCATAGTGGTTACGAATCAGGCTGCTATCCTCAGGATCAGTAGTTCGAAACTACTAGCTGCTCCATGGGAGAAAACGAGGCTTTCTGCTCCCGTAAAGATTTACAGCCTCAGAAACCCTGTACAGGGTCACTATGATTCGGAATCAACTCCACGGCACACAACAACAATGTGACTTTAAACTTTTTCATCATGCTATTATTTCACACAAGAGATTGAAGTATTGTCTCAACATAACTTTATCTAAGATTCATTTTTCACCCTCTCAGAAATCCACAGGCTACCCGCTGCCAGTATGAATCGCCTCCCCTAAGTGACGGCTGCACAAAGCCTCAGTAAAGACAAAGACACTTCTTAACGTCTATCTTTGTCTCTTAACAAAAAAGTTACAGGGTACACAGTTCTACCGCATTTTGGTTTTCCTAGAATTTTATATTTACATTCACCTTTAATAAAGCAGAGCTCATAAAGCAGCAAAAGCATTGTTTGTGCCTTTCATTCACAATTGTTATTACTGATTTCAAAAGGACCACAATACAAGCTCAGGGTGCGTTTGTGACCTGCCACCAAAGAAAAAAGAGAGAGAGAGAGACTCGAAGAAAGGCAGTGCAGCTGCTTGTTGGTAGAAGCAGCAGACCCCAAGATTATCGCTTTTAAGTTTTCGTTTTTAGAAATGTATATGAAAGCCTATTTCAATATATGTATGATTTCAAAGGACTCTTGGTGTGGTGGGGTAGGATCAGCACTGGACTGTGAACCACACAGTTGGTAGTTCAAACCCACCAGCTGCTCCTTGCAAACGCTCTACAGGACCACTGTGAGTCAGAACTGACTTAATAGCACTTAACAGGATTTAAAAACAAAAGTTGCCTTTACCTCAGACTGGCGACCCCGTCAGTGTGTGTCAGAGTAGAGTCATGAGAAAGAGGTTTTCAGTGGCTGGCCCTTCCAAGGTGCCTCTGGGTAGACACACTCCTCTTCTTGGTTAGCAGCCAAGGACATTAACCGTTTGTATGGGACTTCCTGTAGACCATGGCAACCTCTTTTTGAGCATCACCCCTCAGGTAGGGCGATGCCTGCCGTTTCTCCGAATTCCCACAGCAACACTAGAAGGTAGGCTAAGCTTCGCTTCCTGGTACCAATGAGAACAGGTGGTAGCCCTCCCCCAGCCCAGTGGGTGCCCATGGTGAGTAGTAGAACAGAGCTCAGTTTCAACCCAGGCTGCCTGGTCCCCAAGTTCTCCCCAGGAAAAGTTCTCAGGTCAGTTAATAATCATGTCAAGTCTTCAGTGGTCCTACCTATTTGTCCCAGGTCCCACCTGCTCCCCTGGAATTGTAGTGAGACCAGCTGCTGCTCTCAGAAAAGACACCAACCCCCAAAACACAGAGTGAATGGACCACAGGCTCACTAGACGCCCAAGGCAAAATAGCCACAGTGACACTCCTCCCCAGTCCAGCACCTTCTACAGGCAGCTTCTTTGTTCCTGCATGTTCTGTCTTCAATCCCATGAGAAAGTCTTTGATCATTTCCCCATGAGAACCGAATGTACGAAGGAACCGCAGCTAAACTACTCTGACCCACAACGGCCAGGACCTGGTTCACCGCTGCCAGTTTCCTTATGCTTTGCCCCTGCTCCCACAGAGAAAGCCTCCAGCCGGGCCCACCTGACCAAACCCTAACCCAAGTCCAGTGCCATGAAGCCAATCCTAAGTCACAGTGACCGTACAGGACAGAATAGACCTGCCCCTATTGGTCTCTGAGATTGTGAATCTTTATGGGAGCAGCTGGTGGGTTTGAACTGCTGACCTCGTGGTTAGCAGCCCACTACTCAGCATTCAGTACCACCAGGGTTCCTTGGCACACCTGAAGCCCTCCCTGCTTCTTTGGAAAGCTTTCCAGGCTCCTGCCCACCTGCGAATCTCTACCAAACACAGTGATGGGCCTCTTGCTAGAGTAACCTCTGATTGAGATTTTCTTGGCTCTCATCTGGACAGACTGCGTTCATCTCCACATGTGGCTGTTCATTCACTAGACATTCATTCAACATCTCCCGTGTACCAGAGGAGCCCTGGTAGCGCAGTGGTTAAGTGCTGGGCTGCTAACCCAGTGGTTGGCCATTGGAACCCACTAACGAACGCTCCATGGGGAGAAAGCTAAAGCAGTCTGTTTCCAGAAAGACCAGAGTCTCCGAAACCATATGGGGCACTTAGTTATACATCACCTTTTAGGTCACTATGAGTTGGAACCAATTCAATGGTTGTTTGTGACTACAAGAGAGCTTCAAAAAATTAGTGGGAAGATGGAATTGAAAGAAAATGGAATTTTCCCACAAACTTTTGAATCCTCCCTTGTATGCGCCAGGTACGCTTTGGGGGGAATTTCCTCCCAAATATCAACTTCAGGTTTGACCACATAGTATTTCAATCTGCTAAATAAAATATTGATGCCCAAAACATGCCAATCCAAACGCAATGATTCCCTTCATCTGTGCACCCTTGTCAGCTAGGAGTTCTAGGTCTACTTGGGGAGATGGGGCTATAAACACGCTGTGTGGGGTGTGAGAAGTAACCTCGGAGGTATGAGGTCAGGCAGGCTTCATGGAAACTGCTCTGCAAGGACCAGTGGGTCACTAGCAGGTGATGGATGGAAGAGGAGTTTCCAGCAAAGACAAGAGCCGTCCCCAGACATGGAGCCTGCACTTTCCCTCTCTCGGTGGTTGTCAGTGTGACTGAGTTAACAGTGGCAGACTCCATATCTAGTGATCTTGTAAGCACAGTGAACATGCTGGCTAGCCACGTCCCTGTGGGACCTAGGTCTGGGTAGCCTTGTAGGTTCACTTGAGATTATCAGGATGGGTAAGGCCTCCCTAAACACAGGCCAAGGACAGAGGATGTTCAGACCAGGTCCGTTGGGGCCCCTGGATATCTTCACACCATCAGAAGGGGTCACGGGGAGGATACATGGAGGTTTTGCATAGCTGCCTCATCTTCACACTACTGTCCACTGTCCAGGACTTGGCGTAACGGACCCTGTGATGGTGGTGCAGTAGTCTACTCAAGTAGTATGTCTTGGCTTGGCTTTAAAATAATAAGGGTTGGAATGTGGGTACATTTGTGTAACCCTGACTTCTAAAGGTTAAAAAACCAACAAACAAAAAACCACCCAAAAGACTGGAGATGGATGAAAGCCTGGAGGAGCAAGAACTCTGATGTAGGAGCACTGACAACTCAGACGTGCGTCTGTAGGTAAAGCAGGAGGACTCGCAGTTTCTGTCCTGAGCCACCGCGAAGCCAAGATGCCTCCACTAGTTATGAAGTATCCTGGAGTAGGATCTCACTCAGTTACCCAATATAAGATTTCTGAGAAGCAACTGGTGATTTCGAACAGTCAACCTTGTGGTTAGCACTCCAGCGCTTATCCTACAGCTTCACACCAGAACTCCTTCACTACGGGGGTGCGGGGGGAAAGTCAGGGCGGGACTCCAGGGTCTACTTTGGATTTAAGCGTGTGATGCTTTTAACTTCCACGTGGAGACGCCAGGAAGCGATTGGCTACTTCTCCGTTTCCTCTTGCAGGTTTTACAAAACAAGTACCCATTCCAGTGGCTATGAATTCCCTGAGCGGCAGGAAGCAAATTGCTCCCACATTCGTTCAGCTTGCCGGCGCAGAAGGATACGGGGCTCTGCGGGGCTAGGGGAGCCGGCATACCTGGGCTCACCTACCGCGACACATACCCAGCCGAGTCGGTGTGCGCGGGGCGGGACCCGAGCCAGGGCCGTACGAGCGCCTGGGGCGGGGACGCTCGGGCCGAGGGCGCTGCGCAGAGCGCGGGGCATACAGGGGCCCCGCCATGGCCGCCGCGGAACCCAAGCCCCGCGGATCGGGCGCGGCGCGGCGCCTGGCCCGGGGCTGCTGGTCGGCGTTCTGGGACTACGAGACGCCCAAGGTGATCGTGGTGAAGGACCGGCACCTGGGCGTCGTGTATCGCGGGGTGCAGCTGCTCATCCTGCTCTACTTCGTGTGGTGCGGACGCGGGCGGCTCCCTGGAGGGCGGGTTCCCAGAAGAGGCGACCCAGCCACGGGATCCGAACTGGGCGGGAAACGGATTCCTGGACCCTAGGGCGTCACCCTGCCCCACAGGTACGTGTTCATCGTGCAGAAGAGCTACCAGGACAGGGAGACCGGCCCGGAGAGCTCAGTCATAACCAAGGTCAAGGGCATCAGCGTTTCTGAGCGCAAAGTGTGGGATGTAGAGGAGTACGTGAAGCCCCCGGAGGTACTGTTTTCCCTGCCCAAGGCCTCCCAGAGACCTTAGTCCTCACCCAGGCTGGCATCGATCGGAGGGGTGGTGAGTGCTAGCCCTCTCATTTCTGACCAGGGAGGTAGTGTGTTCAGCATCATCACGAGGATCGAGGTCACTCGTTCCCAGACCCTTGGAACCTGCCCTGAGGTGAGGACAAATCCTGGGCCGGTGGTCCTAGGGAAGGAGGGGGAGCCTGTTCATTTAGAGGCCAAACTAGCTCCTTTCTCTCCCCACAGAGTCTAAGGGTTAGCAATGCCAGCTGTGACTCAGAGGAGGATTGTGTGGCTGGGGAGCTGGACATGCTGGGCAATGGTCAGTGGGTGCCACCTGGGGTAGGGCAGTGGGAGTGTCCTGTGGTCATTCAGGATGTCTGCTGTAGGACTGCGGACCGGGCGCTGTGTGCCCTATTACTTCGGGTCCTCAAAGACATGTGAAGTGTCTGCGTGGTGCCCTGTGGAGGACGGAGCCTCTGTCAGGTGTGTGGCCTGACCCTGACCTGCAGGAGTTTCTCCCTCCCACCCCAGGGCTGTGTACAGGACCCTGACAGAGGGCAGGGGGACTAACACAGCCTGTCTGTGCCCCCAGCCACTTCCTGGGCAAGATGGCCCCCAACTTCACTATCCTCATCAAGAACAGCATCCATTACCCCAAGTTCCGGTTCTCCAAGTAAGAGCATGGTTGGTGGGTGCCGGAGAGTAGCTGCCGGCTGTGAGCGCCTGTGGGAAGGAGTACTTGGGCACAGTGCTCACCCTGACGTGGCTACTGCCTTCTGCCCCCACCCGGTCCATGACTCAGGGGCAACATCGCCAGCAGGAAGGACAACTACCTGAAACACTGCACCTTTGATGAGGTTTCTGACCTCTACTGTCCCATCTTCAAGCTGGGCTTCATTGTGGAACAAGCAGGGGAGAACTTCTCAGAGCTGGCGCACAAGGCAATTTGGTGGGCAGGACGCTGGGATGGACGGGCTCTGTGAAAGCAAAACAGGGCCCCTTTCAGCTCCATTCAGGCAGAAACATAATCGGCCTGGACTACTGGGCCTGTGTGGCACCTATTGAATTATTGACACCTGGGGCTCCCAGCAAGCCAAGGTCCCTTCGTGCTTCCCTGGGTGTGGTGGTCCTGGGTGCCCACCGTGAATCTCTTTGTACCTCCAAGGGCTCACAGCCGAGGGTCTACCCCAGATCAAGACCAGGGTTCCTTCTTCTGCAGGGTGGGGTCATCGGGGTCATCATCAACTGGGACTGTGACCTGGACCTGTCAGCATCCAAGTGCAACCCCAAGTACTCCTTCCGGAGACTAGACCCCAAGCACGTGCCCGCCTCCTCTGGCTACAACTTCAGGTGCCTCAGCCTCAAGGAAGGCACCCCCCCCCCGCCCCCCGCCAATACCTGGCTCCTCCCACATGACCCCCACCAAACTTCCCACAGATCCAAGGGGTGGGCACCAGGATCACCGAATTGCTTTTGGTCTTTACACCAGGTTTGCCAAGTACTTCAAGGTGAACGGCACCACCTCGCGCACGCTCATCAAGGCCTATGGAATCCGCATCGATGTCATTGTACATGGACAGGTAGGCAGGGTCTGGGCTCTGCTCTGACCATACTGTCTACTCCCATCCCAAAGCGGTCAGCCTGGGACAGGTGCGAGGTTCTCACAACTCATTCTCCCAGGCAGGAAAATTCAGCCTGATTCCGACTATCATCAACCTGGCCACAGCTCTGACGTCGATTGGGGTGGTAAGGACCCCTGGGGCAGGGGTGGGTGGGGGTTGACCAGGTTCTGAGCATCATCTCTGCTGGCCCAGGGCTCCTTTCTGTGTGACTGGATCCTGCTCACGTTCATGAACAAGAACAAGGTCTACAGCCACAAGAAGTTTGACAAGGTGTGTCCACCAAGGCAGACCACAGCCAGCTGGCCCATGACCCTAGCACTGGTGCTAGGTCAGGCCCCTCCCCCTATGCCACACTGCCCTGAGGGGCCAGTCCCCGAGCCCTCTCCCAGAACCCAGTAGCTAGCTGGCCATTCCATCTCACCTGGCCAGCTGTGCTCTCTGCTTGGCCTAAGCAGATGGCGGACAGTCCTGACTCAGCTGTGGGACAAGAGTATTCTGCCTCCGAGCCTCCCCCAAAGCCAGGCCCATCTCTGAGCTACCTGCATACACACCCTGCGCTACGTAACTGGTCCTGGCAGGGGCTGTCCCCTTGAAATCTCAGCTCCAGAACTTGAGCCCTGCCCCCCACACCACTGCTACCTGCCCATTGAAGGCTCCTCTCTGGGAGGGTCCCGCTCCAGCCCTCACACCTGATTCAGTGTCTCTAGTGAAAAGAAGCAAGTTCTACCGTTTCCCCAGCTGACACAGCACAGCTCTGTACCCACCCCTCCTCACAGACCCTCAAAGTTGAGTTGGGTGATGGAAGGGTCCCGATTCCCCTCATCCCCACACCCTTTGTGAGCCTTGTAGCCATGAGATCACTACATGCCCAGAGCTGATTAAACCTGTGACCAAAACTATTGTCCTTGTTCTCTGGGGGACAGTGCCACTGTATGGTTGGGGTCAGTGGGCGTTTCAGGCCTGGGTATGCATGTGGGAGCAACTCTTGGTCACTAACACACCAGCATCCACCTGACCAGTGAGGGCCACAGGTCACTTCTGCAGTAAGTACCCCAGATCCGTGCAGCCCTTTACCCAAGACAGGAAAGAAGGGTGAAGAGCTGCTGGAGACAGAAGCCGGGGTCCATGGTCCATGATCCCAACTCCACTCATCACAGCTTGGGAGGGCCACTGGGGCGGAGGCGATGTGTAACAGGATGGAGAGGAAGGAGCTGGAGCTTGGGGGCTGGCATAAACCGGATCAGACAAGCATGTAATCTGGTTATGAAGCCCTTGGATGCTATGGGAAGGGTTGTTACATGCCAGCCTCTTAGGCTGGCGTCTGCCTGTCCCAGCCACTTGGCTCTGGGTCCTTCTCTGTACTGTGAGCAAGCGTGGACGCTACCTGAGGAAGACCACCGAGACAAAGCGGCAGGTCCAGGCCCATACAAACCCTCCAAGTTCACGTCCCACATTAACAATCTGTGCTTGTTGCTGGGAACCTTCTCAGTCCACAGGTATTTAGTCTACTCTAGTGGAGCCAGGCCGATTCCTACATCCTTGGGTTTGCTGTCACAGGTCACCAAGTCCAGTGGCCACCCATGCACTTGGCTCACAAGATGTCCAGTTTCAGTTTTGGGGGAACTGGTTTTTCTAGTTGGGCCCCTGCCACAAGTTTAGAGCCAGACTGGACTCAGGTTTCAGCCCCTCAGAGGCCTGATGCCCTGACCACAGCAGATGGAGCAGAGGCCCATATGTAGGACCCAGGGCAGTCCTGGTGAGAGCAGTGGGACTTGGTGCATGGTTCCAGACCCTGGTCCTGCGCGGTGGCCCTTTGGAGCACTCTGGGGAATGTCTGCAGAGCTAGCACTCTGTTGTCCCCTGGGCAGATTGAGTTCCACCATGTCCCTTCCTGACTGGCAGTGGCTCCCTTCCAGGAAACTTCGTTAGCCTGTTCCCAGAGCCCACCCCCTCCCCGACTGCCAACCCTAATTCAATTAGACTCCACTCTATTGGCTTCATTACTCAGCTGATGCTGGCCCGTCCACCTGCAGGAGCCTCAGGTTTCCTGGGCAGGGGTGGCAGCAGATACAGTGACTCATTTACTGTCCATTTCTTCAGACAAGGCTCCTGATCAGATTGTTGGTGGTAGGTGCCATCAAGTCTGATCCAGCTCAGTGACTGTGTGTCTTTTGTTCCATCCTCACCACTCTTCCTATGTCTGAGCCCCTGGTTACAGCCACTGTGTCAATGGATCATCCTTCCTCAGACCCTCCACTTTACCAAGCATCAAGTCCTTCTCCAGGGACTGAGCCCTCCTGATTATATGCCCAAGTACCTGAGATAAAAGTCTTGACATCCCTGCTTCTAAGTAGCATTCTGGTCGGACTTCCTCCAAGACAGATTTGTTTGTTCTTCCAGCAGACCATGGTATAAGTCAATAGCCTTCACCAACACCATAATTCAAATGCATCAAGTCTTGGGTCAGGCACACCTTACTCCTAAAAGTCACATCTTCAGCACTTTAAAGATGTCTTTTGCAGGGAATGTGTCCTGTTCAATACGTCTGATTTCTTGACTGCTGCTGCCACTGCTTGTGGATCCAAGTACAAAAGAATCCTTGACAAAGTCAGTGTTTTCTCTCTTTATCATGATGTTATTTACTGGTCCAGTGGTGAGTTTTGTTTTGTTTACTCTGAGGTGCAATCCCTTCTGAAAGCCATGGTCCTTGGTCTTCAACAGAAAGTATTTTAAGTCCTCTTTGCTTCTAGTAAACAAAGCTGTATGTACCATATGCATATCGAAAAAAATTAATGAGTCACCCTCCAATCCTGATTCTCGATTCTTCTTATAATAACAGCTTACGAGTATTTGCTCAGTATACACATTTAGTAAAGACATACAATCCTGACACAAACTTCCCATGATTTTAAACCTTTCAGTATTCCCTTGTTTTATGTACAAGTTCTACAAGTTCCTCATGAGCACAATGAAGTATTCTGGAATTCCATTATTTGCAAATATTACCCATAATTTTTTATGATTTGCATTGTCACATGCCTCTGCATAGTCAATAAAACACAAGTAAACATTGTTCTGGTATTCTACATCAACTTTGTTTCGTTTTCTTCCGCTTGAACTTGCATAAGAGCAATTGATGGTTTGTTTTACCGTCAGCCCCTGGCTGATGATATTGAGCTCACAGCCGATGTATGGTATGAAGTGCCTCTGCAGAACCCTAGCCCACACAGGACGGAGCAGGTTTACTCAGCAAGAAATGCTATGGGGGTCCCTGTTGAAACTGCGCCTACTCCAGCTTCCTGTGCAAACGAGGCTGGGGTGGGCGCGATTTCATCTCCTGGTCCCGCTCTGTAGTACTGCAGGTACAACCAGAGACCCTCTGGGTTCCTAGAGCTGCCAGGCCAACTGTGTGTCAGCTGAGCCCCCTGTGCAGGCTGCAAGAACCAGGTACAAGAAACCCTGTGCTCTGCCCTGGGCCCAGGCCCTCCCACCACACAGCGGTCCCAGGTGACAGGCTCATAGCATATATCAAAAAGGAGCCCCAGAACAAAGCCTCCCAGGAGGCAGAGCTGAAGTTGGGAACGACATTCTTCAATGCAACCCACTAAAGGAGGTGCAGGGAACAAAAGAAGGTGCAATTCTTTATTCAGTGGGAGGAGCTTCCTCCAGGACCACACTGACCTCCCTCAGAGGAGACTGTCCCTGGGTCACTGTATGGTCAGCACCAGTTTGCCCACCAGAGGCCTGGGAGCGCTTAAGAGCCTCTGAGAGGGACTGGTTGCTCTTGCTCAGACAGCTGAGGGAATATGGGCCCCCAGGTGATCCCCACAACCTAGTGAGCCTGCTGTGCCCATGGTAGAAGAGCTCCCTCAGGGTCAGTGCAGGCTGCTCAGCAGAGCCCAGGTGGCTGACTAGTGGCCCGGGGAAGGCGTCTTCTGCAGCAGCCACTCCAGAGTCTCCAGTAGGTAAGACATATTGTAGTGCTGGGCAATGTTCCGGAAGATTCCAACCTGCTCCATGAAGACCTATAAGGGAATACAGCCACAGTAAGACCTGTGACCCAGATGAGAAAGACCGAGACTTGGGGGGGTGGGGGTGGGGACAGAGCACCTTGGTGTGGATGGTGAGGGCGAAGTCGCCTGCACAGCCGCAGTGGACAGGCATGTTGGTCTCCTTGATGCCGCTGCACTTCAGGCAGACCTGAGATGGAAGCCGGTCAGCACTTGAGCTCAGTGTGTGCACCCCAACCTTCAGGGGCCTCAGAGAGCATTACCCTCAGGACTCTAGCTTGCTGCTTTGAAAAGTCCAATGACAGCTAGTGTTCCCAAACATACACATACATGTGTGTCAAAATGTACACTCAGTCCCCAGACATGCACATATACACATGGATATATGAAGGGGCTTTAAAATGTACATGGAAAAATGGAATTAAAAGATAAGAGAATTTCTCCATACACTTTGCATACATGCTCAAAACACATGCACACATGCATGTACGCACATACCCACATATATACAGTTCACACAATCTCATGCAGTCACCACCAAGTGCAAGTCACTGGCACAGACACCATCTGCCTGGAGGGGCCTAGTTTTGCTGCGACACGTCAGCCCTCCATGCTGGCTCACCAGGTCCTGCAGCGTGAAGGCCATCAGCTTCTTCTGCAGTGCATCCACCAGGGCTGCCTCGATGACAGTCAGGTCATAGGGCACCTCACAGTTGGAGCAGAGCCACTGAGGCAGGACTCCCCCATCCTGGCAGAGGAAGGGCAAGTCATGCCATGTCTAGGCCTTCTGCCTCACCAGCCCGGGCCCGCTTGCAGGAAGGACTAATGCACACTGCCAGAACTGGCCAGTTCCAGGGCTGCGCTGACCACTGGCCCCTCTCCCTTACTCACAGGATGGGGCTGCCTAGGGAAGCAAGTGGCTTGGGCAAGGCTGCACAGTAGGGAGTAGGGGCTGTCGGCGGGCCCACCTGGGAGAAGGCAGAGTCTTTGCATAGGTCCAGGTCCCGGCAGAAGTTGCAGCTTCGACAGATGACCTCTGGGAGCACATGGGAGCGGCAGGGGTCTTGAAACTGCGCCTCTGGTGAGAACTCACCAACACCCACCAGACGTAACAGGTCCCGGCGCAGCTTGTTGACCTGGTTCGTGATGTTCGTGTCTAGGGACAGCACCTGCAGGACAGTGTGCCCGGCTATTACTGCCACTGGGACACAGACACTGTCCCAAAGCTGTGGGCCTTCTCAGTGCCCCATGCCCCCGAGGCCTAAGCGGTCAGCATGATTCACATGAAGTTTCCAGATCCTCTGGATGTACTGCCAGCGCCCCACAGATTCCGCCAATGTTCCTCTCGGCACCTGCCCCCAACTCCCAGAGTGCACCCAGCTGACTCGA